TGATTGATGGAGCTTGAAGAGGAGCGGTATCTTCAGAAGGTTTTGCGGCTTTGAATCGTAAGACGAATACGCCATTCTTTGTTGCTGCTCTTCGATGTACGTGTTGTCCACATCATGTATTAACTCTTGCTCCTGCGTCGTGCAGTTTCCGACCGTGCGGATTTTCTTCTTCAAGAGTTGAAGAGTTGACACTAAATTGAAGCCAAGATTGTCGACGAGTAAAACGCTAGTAAGGCATAAAGACTTTCCCGTATCGATTGATGTCAAAAGTAGACTGCCGATATTTTATGCTGAAATTGTTTGACCGTTGGCGAGTGTGATTGGGCAGGGTTGAAGAAGTCGACGACGGTTGTAGATGAAAGGATTTGTTGAAGAGACCATATGATGGCCACAACAACTATCCAAGTACCAAGTATCGGTATTTGTACTGCAATTGACAATGTGAGTGGATGAAGTAGGTAAACGAAAATTTGAAGTTACCGTATTAGTGGCAGAGTTTGAATTATTTGCTCTCGGCTTTGATGAGTTGCTTGGAGGGGCAGAACTGAGTGTCGTTGGTGGTGTTGATATTGCAGATGTTGCTTTTGGAGGCGCATGGTGCTGAAAATACTGCTTCGAAGACTGTCGTAGCGGCTGTGATGATTTCGACTGCTGCGGTTCTTCAGGAGGTAAATACCTCTGTTAAAATAGCATCGGTCGGTAGAATGTCCTCCCTTGTTGCAAATTTGACAGAAGTTCTTAGAAACTTAGGACTCAAGGTTCTTAAACTTAGGAGGCTAGGTTGGCTAGGATACTAGGAAGAAGGCCGCCATGGAATAGCGTGAGGAAAAACGGATCTAGGAAGGGAGAGAATATCGAGAAGAAAGGTGGTTGGATTAGGAAGAGAGGGGAGTACAAGGAGGGGTTTGTACCCCTACAGAAAGGTTCAGTAACAACCTACCAAGCCTATATTAAATTATAACTTATATAATTTTAACACACCCCCTAGGCTTGGTAGTGTCAAGCCCACGCACACCCCACACCCACACCCACACCCACACCCCCTAGCCCAGCACCCCCATTCCCAGCAGGAGCCGCAACGACTCCGGAAGAGGGTAGGTCTCACGGCCCCTTGAGACGGCAATGGCGGCAGCAGCGACAGTGACGACGGCGGCGGCGGCGGCGGTGTGCGGCGGCTCCAGGCCTGCGGCAACAGCGGCGGCGCCGGCGGCTCGAACGACAGAGGCTGGTGCGGCGGCCCCCGCCCTCTCGGCGGCATGTCCTGTCTCCTCGGCGGTGGAGAGGTCCCTCACATGGCAGTCATCGGCTGCAGCAAGAAAGGGGGGGATGCAGGGGAAGCAGGTGCAGGTGGGGGGGGGGAGGGGAGGGGGCGGGGCGAGGCGAGTCTTCAGCGACGCGCCATAAGTGGCGCGGCGCTTACTGGCAGGAGGGCGGGCAGGTGGCGGTTACGACGGCGTGCTGCCCGCTGCCGCCCATCCACGCTGCCGCGGCAGCATGACGACGCCGCCAGGGCGCGGCGTCGACGCTGTGGCGGCACGCCGACGCTGCAACGGCAGCAAGGTGACGCTGCCACGGCAAAGCTTCGACGCAACCGGCTGCGGCCCGACGGCGCCGTCGACGCTGCAGCAGGACGTCGACGTCGCGACGGCAGAGGCAGCGTCGATGCCGCAGCGGGACGTCGACGCTGCGACTGCAGAACGACGGCCCGACGCCACGGCAGCGCGTCGAGCCGGTCGCGGCACGACGCGGCCAGTGGCAGCGCGACGTCGCCACTGCAGCAAAACGCGGCCGCCATGGCCGCTCGAGCTAATGAGAGTGAGGAGTAAATTGCGGAAGCGTGAGGAGGCGATCCAACAGGGAGGATCTCCCGCTCTGATACCATCTTATAAACTTAGGACTCAAGGTTCTTAAACTTAGGAGGCTAGGTTGGCTAGGATACTAGGAAGAAGGCCGCCATGGAATAGCGTGAGGAAAAACGGATCTAGGAAGGGAGAGAATGTCGAGAAGAAAGGTGGTTGGATTAGGAAGAGAGGGGAGTACAAGGAGGGGTTTGTACCCCCTACAGAAAGGTTCAGTAACAACCTACCAAGCCTATATTAAATCTCCCTGTTTGTTGCGTTGTGACTGCAGGTCAAGATCTTGCTGCTCTGCTTGAAGATACGAAGAAATCTCAGCTTCGGAGAGATTTTGATTCATGCGCAGGAAGGCGCGCGTCTGACGCCATTCGGGTCCAAGGCCAGCCAGAAGGACAGTGAGATACATCTCACGAGGGAAGTATCCTCCGCTCTTTTCAAGTTGATCGCGTAGTGTACGGACTCGGTTAACGTAGTCCATGACATTTTCGTTTGTCATCATCTGCACACTTGTCAGCTGCGAAAGTATTTTACTCACTGTTATCGTATCTTTTGCCATGTACACCCCTTTCAAATGGTTCCATGCAGTTTCTGCAAGGCATCAGCAAGGCATTTCTGCAAGGCATTTCTGGAGCTGGGCATCTCAGCTGCTAGGCTGCTTCAGGAATCAGGGGGGCGATCAGGAGGACATCACTGCTGAGGGAGCCTATCACTAAGCGACTGCATATCGCCAGATTTCAGCGAACATTACGTGCTAAGAGGTGCTCTGTTGGTCGTCATAATCATCCACATTACGATAACATTGAGGTCGTGTGAATGAACCCGCTAAACTTCTTTGCTATGCCTAGAGAAATATTTGCATAATTGAGTCTGGGCTCTCTTTGCCCCTCAAACATCATTCCATAATGAACCGCCTCGGTCGGAGAGGCTGGATGTTTGGTACATAGCAAAATATTGTTAATTTACTCATTTGACATGTGCACAACTTAATTCCCACTAGCCTGTGCCCTAGCCTGTGTCCTGCTGCATCAGCTGTCCACATGGAACATGATACATACATTGGTCATACTATAAATCGTCCCTTGGCTCTCCTCCAGCGCAGTCGTCAAAGAGATTGTTGACAATAGTGCTGCAAGAGAGAGGCCCTGAGTGGTCAATATCCTTCACACTGGAGCTAGTAGATTTACAGATGGACTGCTGTTAGAGCTGAAACTGCTGGTATAATCACTGTATTGTTGGAATGGTGCTTGTGCTGCTGCTATGCCTCCAGATGCAGATGCTTCTTCGTCAGAGGAGCCCATGCTGTTCCACGTGAAGCAAAGTAGATGCTGCTTCCTGCTTCAGTGGTGCTGATGCTGCTGCCCGCATTGGTGTCGCTGATGGTAGACAAACGGTGGTGGCGCTGCTGCCTGCTTGAGTGGTGATGATGCTCCTGCCTGTGTCCGATGCTGCACCCTGCCTAAGAAGTGCTGGCAGTAGCCTGGCGCAGGTGTGATGGTACGGTAGTGCACTGAAGGGCTGCGGGTGCTGCCACCTCCTGAGGTTCTGAATTTGGTGCTAGCTCAGCATATGCCAGACCTGCTGGTGCTGCTTCCAGCCTAAGGACGCCCGCTGCAGCAGCTGTCAGATGGATTGTGGATGCAGCCATATGAGCGGGAAGCTCTGAAACCGTTACTTGCTGATATGATGTCGGCTCCACTGCCACACCTGCCACCGCTGGTAAAGCACCGGGACTGTGCTGCAATAGGGACGCGGCAGAAGCACTGGCCTTACTGTCGGCAATAGCTGACAGGAGAAATGGGGTGAGCTTCGGTAGTGGTCCTGTCAGAATCTTAGTGTGGGGACTGTGATGCGAGGCAGGGGGGCCAGAGGAAACATGAGCTCGTGGAAGCATGGGAGATGGCAGCAGAGGAGGAGGAGGTGGAAAGGGAAGGGGCCTGCCACCCAGAATGGCAGCACCTGATGCGCCACCAACCACCTCCTGCTGCTGCTTCTGTTCCTCAACTGCCTGCCCTGCTGTCAACTGCAAAGGTAATGCCTGTCGCTGCTGTAGGGGCCTGAGCTGCTGCATTGCCCGCTGCAGCTGTCCCTGTGGCAGCTGTAGCATCTGGTGTTGCGCCTGCTCCTGTGGCTGCTGTTGATGATGGCTCATTGGCTCGTTCGGCTGTTGATGCTGCTGTGGTTGCTTCCAAGCCGTGGAAACCAAAGGCTGCTGCTGCCGTGGCTTGTCACAAGACCTGAGACTCCACGCAACTCCCACCTTAGGCATGACCAGCAGGTGCTTTTTGTTCGCTGCAGGGCTTCCAGGTGCTGCTGCAGCTGTAGCTGGAAGAGCTGCAGTGGTAGGAGGAGCAGCAGCAGCGATACCTGGGGGAGCCCCTGGGTGAAGCAGCGCAGAACCAGAATCTTCAGGAGGTGCAGTAGCTGGGGGTTGGCTGCTAGTGATAGCCAGGAGGTCGGCATTGGTGGATGTCTGGACCTTGTTCGCACTGCTGCCAGAAACTGCACCCTGATGCGAGAAGCCTGTGCCCTGTGCAAGCATCTGCTGCTGCTTTAACTGACAATGGCAACAGCACTGGCATGTACTGCTGGCACTGGACGCAGGAGGCAAGGTCCTGAAGGTTCCATGTGACCCCACAGGAGCAGCAGGAGGTGGGGGAAGCTGCAAGCGGGAAGAGGGAACGACCGTGGGGGGAAGCAGTGAAGCTGGACGTGCAGGAACGGAAATTGATGAGGGCATGGTTGGGCGAAGCAGCTGCAAGTGGAATAGGACTGGGGAAACCACGGAAGGAGCACTGCATGGGGCGGAGATACCGCCAGCAGTAGTCCCTCCAGCAGCAGCAGTGGCTGGTATCAGCGAATTCTGCAAAGGCAGAGCAGGTGCGGATGCAGGTGGGCGCGCGCTCAGGTCACTGCGAGGAGCAGCAGCAGCAGGCGATGGAAGCATGAGCGCCTGTGCCTGCCTGACACTGACGAGAGGGTGAAGCGGCTGTGACCGGACGAGAGGTGCGGCCATATGGGGAAGGCTGGGGTAGGAGAGCAAGCGAGCAGGTGCTTCTGCAGCTACGATCGGGCGGGAGCATGCCTCCACAGCTGCTGCTGGGCGTTCAACAGATGCTGCACCTGCTGGGGTTGGTAGCGGTGCTGAGAGAGCTGAAGCGGGAAGGTGGAGTGGAGCCACTGCAGAATCGGGGTTTTCCTCAGCTGAAGCAGGACTGCCTGAAGTAAGATGGAGCGGAGACATGGGGGTCGCCTCCAAAAACTTCGCCAGCCCATGCAGTTCAGGAATAATCCCGTCTGCATCACAGGCTGCACGAGCTTTGCTTGTGTCAAAAGAATCATTAAGAGGAATTGTACTAGAAGGAGCAGCATCAGTACCTTCTGCAGTGACCGTAAGAGCAACGGTAGTGGTGTTCTCTCGCGAGTCAGCCATGCAAATTGAAGCACCTCCTGAGAAGTAGAGGTTATGGTGGTTACCCCGAGGCACAGTGGGGCCCTCACACCCTTCTCCGTCGGCCAAGAACTGGTCCACAATGTCTGTACAGCTTCCTGAACGACAAAGCTTCTTCTTTCCCGGATCATTCTGCTCTGCAGCACTTGCACTCTCGCCTTCGCCTGTTAACGAATCTGTGACTGTAGTCACGGGTACTCCACTGAAAGAATCCGTTTCTATGTACGAGCTCCAGTCTTCCATCCCGCCACCTCCTCCAAATGCACTGCCACCCCCACCATCTTGGAAGCAAAAGGCGGTCGCTCTCAAACTTCCCTGACCGTTTCCGGGGCCGCTCCTTGATGGTTGCCACCAGTGATCGTCGTCAAATCCCAGAGGACCTGACACATTGTCAAGTGAGTTGCAAGCAACGCCTTTTCTGCTGTCACGTAAAGCAAAGAGAGCGTCAATCTCGCTCACGGGAATTTCAGTGTCTGACTCACGATAAATATAGTATTGCGCCTTCTGTGCCACCTTTGACTCGGCCTTAACTATGGTCATCGACGTAGCTTTGATGTTGGGGAGCACTGCCGATTCCGAGCTAGACTTATCGGGTGCAGGCGGAGTCAGCTCCATCCGTGAAATATTCGCAGCCTTTTCTGCCCGTCGTTGCCTTGTCGCTGCTTCCGCCAGAAAGTCAATACGCTGTGCGAAGTGACCAGGTCCTGCAGCGGTAGCGTCAGATGCTGGGACATTGATCGACCTGGGGGTTTCATATCCCGGAGAGTCAGCGTCGATGTTGTCAATAGCTCCTTCGTCTATAAGCCTCGCCGTTTCCATCGCAAGAGCAGACCGAAGGACCGGGCCGACGACCCCACCGCAACGTTCCATGATGTCAGCCAAGTTCGAAGCGTACATGCGACTTCTTTCAAAGTTCAGCCGAGTTTTCGCTCCACGAATAGCTAGAGCAGCTACGTCATAAGCAAAGGCCGCTTCCTCAACCGTCGTGAAAGTTCCGAGCCAGAAGCGAACGTTACTTGGACCATCACGAATCTCCGATGCCCATTTTCCCCAATAGCGCTGTCGCACGCCACGCAAATGCGGATGCAGAAGCACCGCTGGTGACCTGCGCCTCTTCGCTGATTCTTTCTTGGCAACACCGATGATGTCATTGGAGCCTGGAGCTTCTGATGTGTCCGCGTTAGCCTTTGCACCGTCGTCCAGATCAGCTTCACGTTTCAGCTCGCCACAGCCGTCTGGTTCGCCTTCTAGGTTCCGCTTCTTGGACTCGGCGTTCGAAGCTTCAACAGCATTGTTATCCGGTTCGGTCTTAGGACAGGTTGGGTCTTTCCGCGTCTCTCCATCCAGCAAAATGTCCACATTTTCTGGCGGGAGGAAGCCGGCGTTGTCCATTCCCGTAGAAAAGAGTTCTGTGTTCACCGACGATAGGAAAAAACTATACTGCCTGCAGGTGACTATACTGTCCTCAGCTTCAATGCTCAAACATTGTCACAAAAGTTCTGGAAAATGCTCCCGGTAATGTAACATTGACTGAGAGGGCTGCGAGCTCGTTGTAGACAACATAAATGACACGTCGCCTTCAGAGTCCTCGTCCCAGCCAGAAGTTCTCCTACGTAAACCTGCTCTGCACCCTAGCTTGAGTCGTGTCCGCTATCAGGCTTCCTGAAATACATTCCTGGAAGAATCTGGAGCCTGAATAACTGAGCTAGAGCGTGCTGTATCAGTCATGCTGGATTTGCTAGCTAGACATAGCAGGGAAAGGCTTGTCAGACGAAGGTCGCCTGAGCAGGGGGAATGAGGAAGCTTGAATTGAAAGAGGGCAATCCGAAGCACCAGAATCACTCGCTGCGGCAGTGTGGAAAAGGTTCTGTCCTTGCTTCTTGGCTGAAACCCGTCGGGACACGTCATCGCTCTGGACACTTCTGATTGGTCGTATGAGGGCCCAAGGTGGGGCACGCGGACCAAGGGCTGGGCAAGAACTCTGCGGCTCGGTCACCAAAGTGATGTGATGACGTGATCAATGATGCGGGGCAGGTCGAATAAAGCTGGACTGCCCGTCTCTTGTGACAGGTTGGTCCAAACCAATCCATACAATCAGCCAGCACCAGGAACAGACCATGAACACAAGTGACCAGAGTTTCGGGACATTCCAGTCGTCCCCGGGGAAAGAGGATGTGGATGTCAACGACTAACATGTTGCCACCTGGAGGTGTCTGGGGTATCTGCCGCCTCCATCCAGGGCAGGTGGAAACTGGACGAGGAGCTGAAGTCTCAGCAACATAGAAAATATTCGTAGATAACATGATCAATCTTTGCAAGCGATGGTTCTGGTAGCGTAGCACAAAACCGAAGTGTACTGAGTCGAGGATGAGTTCAGTTCGTATTGCTCTTGAAACTGGATAAGTCCACGTGGAATTCTATCACTAGTTGAAAGATTCTGGCTTCCTTACCTCGCATCGCACGGGCTTGCCAAACTGCAGGCTGTACTTTTCCGGTCAGCTTCATCAGCACAGGAGTCGGCCGAACGGAACCGAGGGGAACGAGACTACTGTACAGTGCAGAAAGGGGAACTAGCGGTGGTGCGTGACAAACGAAAGAAGCAAATTTCGCTGTCAGGGAATCTCGATTCTCTCGAGGGGCAAATTGCGCGGGCGAGACGGACATTGGGGTTTGCTGCTGCGACCACCCCAACGTTTTCCCACAGCCGGGGATTTCTGCCACTCCCTACTGCCAAGATTTCGACCACATTCCCTCGCTTCCAGAAGCCACACAAACCATTTCTTCACCACACCAGCACAGCACGCGCCGCCATCTTCCGACTTGTGTCTCTCTGAACCATTCGGACGACTTTTCGCTGCTTGACCCATCCGAGTTTACAGGATTTTCAGCGGCTCTTTTCCGTGACCACCACCACATACCACTTCCTTATGTCTGCTGCGTCTGCCGCGTCTCCCGCTTTGGTGGGGGCCTCTAGCGCTCGCCTTCAGCCCGCTGGCTCCATGGCCGCGATGCGCGTACCGCCAGGATCGCTCCTGCCGCCCAGACTGGGACCGCTCGGCGCGCTCTTCACTTCGTCGCGCTTCCTGTTATACAACCGAAAGGTTGGTGCTCTTCGCTCAGAGTTCCCAATTCTGTCTCACCCACCATCTCTCCCCGCCCTCCCTCTTTCTAGGCCCAAAGCCTCTTCCTAGCCCCAATGCCTCTTCCCCGTCGTCATCATCCGCACAACCTTTTCGCCGGAATCAATTTAAACAGTCTACGTCATAATTCGACCCTCACTCCGCTCGTCCTACTTGACCCTTTCCCCCCCACCGCCCACCCCACCTCCCACCCCCCCCCTCTCTTCCCCCTCTCCCTCCCCCCCCCCCCCCCATGCCCCTTTCCAGTCCTCATCATTCAACCCTCGCTCCAATCTCCAAGCCGTAGCGCCCCAGGCACAGCCGCAGGCTAGCATCGCAATGGTCGCCGACCAATCGCGAGACAGCAGTGGTGACAGTATCGACGACGGGATTACCGGTGATGAGGAGTTGGCGGCGCGGCGAAAGCAGTGGGACGAGGAGCGGATGCGACTGATTAAAGACGCGACGGCCGCCGCGGTGGCGTCGTACGAGGAGCGCATCGCGCGGATCGAGGTGGATCAGACGGCTGAGATGGCGACGATGCGACGAGTGGCGGAGATCGAAGGGCAGGTCATGCGACGACAGTCGCAGGAGATGCGGGAACTGAGGGTGAGTGAGGGATTGAGATGCTTAGCGCTAAGAGCGAGTGGAATTTAGATGGCAGGATTGATTAAGTGTGTGGCTAGGGCAATAGTAAACCTAGCCAATTGGCCAGGCTTAAATGGTCATGTGCGGAACCATAAACTTGGGACACTTTTGAAACACGCTAAATTGCTTATATGACGGTCAAAAGCTTACCGGTTAAGGGTGGGAGCTTAATCCTAGTATGTATACTAATGCTTTATCCCTCCATGCCTCCTCAGGAGGAAATCGAGGCACTCACAAACGAGTTGGTCCTGACGAAGGAGGTCACTGAGCACGTGATAAAGCAGCGGAGCCGCCGTGAGGAAGAACTGGAGGAGATTAAAGCACAGGTCGGCGCGCAGATTAAGAAAATCGAGGATGAGAGGGCTCTCTACTCCGGTGCCAGGAAGGCCTTGGCCGCGGAGTGGGGCAAAGTGAGAGAGACGCGGGAAGAGCTGGAGAGGAAAGAGGGAGAGGTGGAGCAGGAGAAGCGGGCGCTAAGAGAATTAGTTGCAAGGGTAGAGGAGGAGGAGAAGGAGGAGGAGGAGGAGGAGGAGGAGGAGGAGGAGGAGGAGGAGGAGGAGGAGGAGGAGGAGGAGGAGGAGGAGGAGGAGGAGAAAGAAGGGGAGGCGGAGGGGGAGAGGCAGGCGGAAGAGTGGGCGCGGCTGCAGGGGGATGTGAGCAGGGCGGAGGAGCTGCAAAGGAGGGAGCGGGAGGAGCGAGAGGAGCGGGATGCAGGGGCGGAGTCAGAGACTGCTGTCTGGCTTTCCGCTGCTTTGCATAGGTGAGTGTGGTGCAAGGTTCAAAATTTCGGTAGTGGAAAATTTTGGTTGGAAACTTTCGACGGAAATCTTCGGCCAAGTTTTGAAAAAATCGGTCAAATCTCATTAGGAGATGATGCTAACTCTTCTTCTTTCGTAATCCTGCCCAATGTTCCACATGTACTACACACAACTATCATTTGCACTCTAGAGACCTGGGGAGTACAAAAACACATTGAAATGTCACTAATCCTCGGAGGCTTCTGAGCCACTATCGCCATCGCTAATCTCCCAAGGGAAGATCGCCTTGGACCCGCTAACAGCATCCTCGGTCGCGCTATCATCGCCACTCTCAGCTTCTTCTCCTTCCCTTTTTTGGACGCATTACCACTTCTCCTTCATGCCCTTCCCCTTCATGCCCTTCCCCCGCCCTCCCTTTCCACAACCTCTCTTCCGAAACTTGCGGCCGAAAATTTGCACCAAAAGCGGGAAACCCAATTTTGATGATTTTGATGGAAAGATTCGAAAACGAAACTTTCGTAAAAAAAAGTCGGAATTTCGGCGAAATTTTGAACCTTGGTGTGGTGGCACGCACTAGAGATGGCAGTATACTGACAAATGCATGCCATGACAACATGGGGAAGAACAAGCATGAGAACCCAATATTGTAAGAAAAGGCATGAAGTGGGTAGTATTGGATGAGAGAAGCACCGAAGGTATGGAGCTCATCTCCCTCCTCCCCCCCTCCCTCCCACCTTCCTTCCCACCTGTCTTCTGCCTACCTCCCATCAGAATGAAGACTGAGCGCGAGCAGCATCAGCCGGAAGTGGCAACAGCCATGGCAACGGCCACAGACCTCTCAGCCCGCGTGGCCTCCTTTGAGTCCTCCTTGCTGGAGGTTCGCCGAGCCATAGACACCACCAGAGCTGCTCTCTTTCGGGCCAAACTCCGGGCAGAAAAAAAAACAGCGGTTGTGGGTGACCTCCGCTCGCAGCTGGAGAAAGTGGAGCAGGAGCGCGAGTCGGTCGATGTTGAAACTTTTCGCGAGCTGACCGTACAGTTGGTCGATGCGAGGAGAATTCTGGAAGAGGCGGATCGGCAGCAGAAGGAGATGGCTTTGCTACTGGGAAGAATGACGGATGAGATTCCGGCATTAGAAGCGCAACTGTCTGAGGCTCGGGATGCCCTTGCAGAGGAAAGGGAGGCTCGGGAGCAGGAGGTTCGGAAGCTACGAGAGTCTGTGGCTGTGGCTCGGGCCGAAGCTGCGGAGGCTAGGGTCAGATCCGTTCGGGCCGAGGCTCCTCTTGTTGCAGCTGTGGAGGAGGTATGGAGACGGCACAAGGCGGAGGTTCAGGAGCTGGAGGGAAGATTGGAGAAACTTGTGGTTCGGGAAATCGGGGCTAGGAGGCTGCAGGGCCTACAAGAACAGGTATGGATTTCCAGCTTCCACCGTGGGCGTTCAGGGTATTTAGGCATATTTGTCTCCAAGGTGAACTAATTTCTGTTTATCTGAATGCAGGTTGACTACTATGTTGCCGAGATCAATAAGGTGGATAAAGCAGCAGAACGAGCTGCTACAAGGTACATGTGATGTGATTGAATGCTTCTTGTGGCTTTGGATAGCGACCTGTTTAGTGGGGCTTGCACTGCACACCTTTTTTATTTGTTGTGGCTTTGAAGATGTGTTACCAGTGTGGATGCTGCACATGGTTGTAAATGGGTTTCTATGAGTAGGTAAATAGCAGCAAAAGCTGCACATGTGAAAAGGCTCGTTTAAGTGGCATCACGGCAAGTTTGCATTAGGATTTGTATTGGGACGATTGTGTAAAAACAATCAATGTACCGTAGTAGCTTCCTTGCAAAAAGAAACACGGCCTTCTCTTCTGTAATTGTTCGAACTGTATAAAGTATCGCTCACCATGACCTAAATCGTGCCTGATCGCGAATGGCCTAGCTGCCTGCCAACGAATAAGAACCCTTCGCGCTAAACAGGCAAGGACAGCGCAGCCAGCAATTTATTCGAAGAGCCAATAGTGGAGTTTCGCGGTATACAGGCGAAAACAACTCAGCAAGCAAATGATCCTGGATTACGGCACGCATATCCTGCCCGTTCGATTTCTTCTAGGTTGCCCCTCCCCTAGGTGTTCGACTACGTCACGACGAGCCGCCAAGCCGAATTCCAAGGGTAGATTGTTTCGGCACCGTTCCACGTCATTCCGAATCCCGGCCTTTTGAACCGAGAAAGCGCGGCAACCCCGGTCAATGTCCCATCTTATTGGGTCATCCGAACTTTCGCCAGACTGGGCCCTGACCTGCCTGCCCGCCAGCCTATCACGCGTTCAGTGGCGTGGCGACTTACCAACGCGATCCGTCTAGGTAGCCCTCCTCCGCGTGTTATTTGCTGAATAGCCCCGCTAGCCCTTGTTTCATCTGTCCGACTCCGACACCGTCGTTTCATCTAAACCGAACGACGTCAATGGCCAGGATCTACTGGGCAGCAATCTCCCCATCCAGTTTTCCTGCGCCTCGTCCCCCGTATTGGTCACGACCCACCTCCCGCCAACCCCTTGCAGATCCCCCCTCCCCTCCTTCGCCCCCATTGCCTAGCCTCACTGCCCCCAACCGTGCCCCCGCACCCTCTCCTGCTCGCTATTCCAATCAATCCCCCCCTTCCCTCTCATTTGCACCCGCCCCCTCCCCCCTTTCTTCCGCCTCCCCCCTACTGACGCGGCTCCTGCTTCCTCCTCCTCCGCCAACCCGACAGGAAATATTGTTGTCCTTGGTGCACATATATTACCGTTCATGGTGCAATGAATAACCTCGCCCCAGCCAGTTTAGTTGGTTTGTCCTCTTGTCTTCCTCCCGTTTCTTCTTGAAGTTAGTCCTCGCTCTTCAGCCCAGATCTAGCTCGTTCCTTCGCCACGCGCAATGGCCACAACTTTTTTAGACTCGGTGGTCAGGTCAGGGGCTTATGGAGCCTCAGTCGTCAAGTCGCAGCTTTCAGAAGGCGCAATGGTTACGGGTCGCGCAGAAGCGGCTCCGCGGGTGATGTTCACCAAGGACGCGAGCAGCACTCCCGCGTTCGCCGCTCTCGACATCGACTCGCAGTCCCTCACCGACAAGCCACGTGTCCTCCATGTGTTCGCCACGATCCTCAACCGCATCGTCGCCAGCAACGAGGCCATCTCCTGCGCGAACACCGCCGCTGACAGCACCGCCGCGAACTGCGACGGGATCGTCTGCGAGAGCCAGGCGTCGCAGCTGACCGTGTTCGACGGTCTGCGGGCTCCCGGGATCAGCATTGATAAGTACTTTGATCGGATCGTTAAGTACGCCCGCTGCAGCCCGTCCTGCTACGTGATGGCCTACATTTACATCGATCGGATCATGCAGCGGAAAGACGCCATGCTTATAACGACGCTCAACGTGCATCGGCTCCTTATAACGGGTGTGCTTGTAGCGGCCAAGTTTCTGGACGACGCATACTACAATAACGCGTACTATGCGAAAGTCGGGGGGATCTCCATAGAGGAGATGAACCGTCTGGAGCTGGAGTTTCTGTTCCGGCTCAACTTCCGACTGAATGTAACTGAATCGGAGTTCTCCTCGTACTGTAACGTGCTGCACGAGCAGCTGCTTGCGGAGGTAAGTGTTTCAGGGGAAGATGAAACCTCCTCCTCGCGGTCGTACGGTTTCTTCTTGCCTCAGCTCCTGGCGAGTACGCTTTCAAGTAGCGGCCGGTGGAGCAGCAGTACGAGTAGCAGCACTTGTAACAGTAACAACGGCGATGCAGGCGATAGCGGCAGCGAGATCGCCAGAGGCGACAGCAGTCGCAGCAACAGTACGGACGGCGACTCCAACTGTAGCTTCGATAGCAGCAGCAGCGATAGAAGCAGCACCGGCATTGGCGCCAGCAGCACTAGCACCTCGCCTTCTTCGTCGTCAATCTCCCCCAGTATCGCCTGCCCAACTACCCGGCAAGATCGCGCGCCGACTCATCAGCGGAGGACGTCTTTAACCGCCTCCGCGCTGTCCGCCGCGTCGAGCATCCTCTCGTTCTTCTCCCCGCGGAAGCCCGCTTCTTCCGCCGCCTCTTCCGCTACCACTCCCGCCCTTTCCGCCCGGCCTGGCAGCGCCCCTGCTTCTGTAACAAGCTCCCGTCTGGTAACCAGCTCGCATGCTGTAACCGTGGAGCCGGCAGATTCACGTCCACAGAACGAGGCAGGTGTTAGTGTGGACAGCTGCGAAGGCTCGGATTCAGAAACCGCCGGTTCGGGGGGCGAATGGCTGAGGTTCGGAGGTTTGCAGGCGAGTTCACAGCAAACGGAGGCTCGGGAGTCGAACTACCAGTGGTGGTTCGGGAGGGAGCCAGGGAGCAGCGGTGTGGAGTCGGTGCCTCGGGTGGTGCTTGTCAGCAACTAGAACAGCTAGTTTTGCGTTGCTTTGTCTGCTTTTGTAGAACCTCTCGCCCTATACACCTCCCGCTCTCTTGTAGTTGGGGAGGGGGAAATGTATCGGGCTAGAGATGCATGTTCTGGTTTGTTCTTTCCATATTATTTCCACTTCTAAAGGTTGTCCTTTGGCACGAGAAATTGAAAACTATAGTGAAAGCCATAATAGATTACATTGTACTCCTCCCCTACTAACTAGTCCCACACACAATATGATGGCAACCAAAGCTGGTGGCTAAAATAGCAGACCTGGAAGCCACTTGAATTTTGTGGCAGCTTTGAGTTCAAGCCTGAACAAGAAAAGTGCGTTGAAACGAGTTATAATCGTGCTTGCTGATTGGAGGAATGGCGAAAATTTTCGTTCTGCTGTTTGTTGCGACACGATCATGTGGATGCGATTTGCGCAAAAACACTGTGTGCATCGTACGGAGTTTCTACGACGGGTTTGGGCGAGGAGCTTGCGACGAGGAAATACAAGCACCGTTATGACTGGGGAATTCAAGTCATTTCCAGGTCTGCAATTCCGGAATCAGCTACTGTTCGCCAAATAACACTGTTCTGCTCGCATTTTGACTGTTCACATGACCACGAAATCGGTCGCACGACGCGTATTGCACTATTCACCGAATGATTTAGTGCAGAAGTATCGCCAAACCGTCACGGTCAGATTCCGCTATGCAAAGCGAAATGTTTTTACTCTGTTTCGTTACTCTAAAAATTAAGCCATGTCCCAAGTTCAAGAGGAAATTGAACAACCCTCTTGTTTGCTACTATAGCCACGGGCTTTAAGAGTTAGTGAGCGTTTCTAGTCAAGCTTACCCTGTCAAGTGTTCTGTCAGTGTGTTGCCAGACCTTCCAGCCAAGCAGGTTATCAGCTACCCTGCTCGCTCCCTTGCCCACCCCGTGGGCCACCACCAGCCGGCCAAACTATTGCACCTGGCACAACCCAGAATTCCACATCGCCTCCATGTTGCAATGATTCGGTATTGCGGTGTTATCACCCCTGTGGTCCACCTGCTGCAGCTGCTTTCCACCAGCCACTGCAGCCGCCCCCCCTCACTGGGCTGTTTCAATACACGTCTCCTCTATGTCTGAACTAGGTTAGTATTTGCAACTAGACACCATCGCTCTGCCCCCTTGGTACTGTGCTATTCTCCCAGTTCCGGACCGTGGCACATCCCTGCGACTCCACGCCTCTAGCCAGCCAGCAATCACAGCATAATATCACTGCACCTTCTCTCAGTACTGCCCCACGACACACACACCCCTGCAGCTCCACGGGCCGCCAGTTGCTCTCCACAAGCCAGTGCATGCCGCCGTGCCCCACCATGCCGCACCTGTCTCCCCTATTCCTCCCGAGTCGATGTTTGAGTCCACTCAAACGCCGCCCTGCCCTACCAGGCTGCTCATGCACCGGCACCTGTCTTCCCTATCCCTCCTGAGCTGGCTAGTGGCTGCAGCAAGACATCACTGCACCTTCTCTCAGTGCCATCTCAAAACCGCGCCCGAGCCACAGGGGCGTGTCATGGCACTCAAAAGTCACCTCAAAACCGCGCCATGACTCGCCCCTGTGGCTCAGCGGGTCGCCAGTTGCTCTCCACCAGCCACTGCATGCCGCTCTGCCCCACCATGTTATGGCTGTCTCTGTCCCCCACCACGACGCCTCGAGTTGGTCAGTACGCAGCAACGTCATTGCACCTCAATACCCTGCCATGACACATCCTTGTGGCTCCACGGGTCGCCAGTTGCTCTCCACAAGCCATTGCATGCCGCTCTGCCCCACCATGCTGTAAACGTACAGGTCCCCCACCACCACTATGCGTTCAGTCGGTCAGTACGCAGCAACGGGTGATTGCACCTCAGTACCGCGCCATGACACACCCCTGCGGCTCCACGGGTCGCCAGTTGCTCTCCACCAGCCACTGCATGCCGCTCTGCCCCACCATGTTGTAGTTGTACATGTCCCCCACCACCACCGACGGGCCGAAGTCCGTCATGCACTTGTCGCTGCACTCTGCGCCCAGCGCGTCGTACCACCCGCCCCCGATGCGCGGGTTGGTGGCGGTCTCGACCATCTCGTGGGCGATGATGCTGATCATGCCGTCCACCCCCCGCTTGCCGTTTGGCGTTTTCCTGTGCGGGCATAGTGGGAGAAGCAGCAGCAGAAGCAGAAGCAGGTAGGGAAGGGAAGGGCCAAGAGGAGGTGGGTGCAAGTGAGGGGAGAAGTGAAGCGGATGGACGAGGGCATGAGTCAAAGAGAGCATGGGAGTGAGAGAGAGAGAGAGAGAGAGAGAGAGAGAGAGAGAGAGAGAGAGAGAGAGAGTGTGTGTGTGTGTGTGGGGGGGGGGGGTGTGTGCGTGCGTGTGTGCGTGCGCGTCCGTGAGTATGTGTGAGCGCGTGAGAGAGAGAGCTCGGCACGGGATTGGGGATTAGGTTGCAGGGGGGGCGGGGCGGGAAGGGGAGGGGGAAGGAGGGGGGGGGGGAGAGAAAGTGTTGACATCATCATCCTCAGCACTCACTTTCTGCCTCCGGCGCGCACGCATCTGGTTCCACACTTGTCTCCATTCCCGATAAATCCATATTTGATGTAGCTGACGCCGTCCGTCGCAAACGAGTGGAAGCCACAGTAACCGGACCGCCCGCAAAAACCCTTCTCCGGGTCGCCCAGTGACACGTCAGCGCTGGTCAGCACGAGGTACTGCGCTGAGCTGTCGATGGGGAGGGCTTGGGTGCGCAATTGCTGGTCGATTACTGGATGAGGGGGCGAGGGGGGGGGGGAAGGGGGCAATGGCGGAAGCCGAAAGGGGAAAGGAAGACATTGGGGAGGAGGCGAAGCAGGGGGAGGAGGGGTGGGAACAAGCGGAGGGAAGGGGGAAGCATCGAATAGATCGAGAGAAGGATAGGCAGGCGAGAACGGCGGCAATGGAGCATGGTATCAACAAGCGAAGTGGAGGAAAAAACGCGAGAATGGGAGGAAATAGGAGGAGACTGGTCGGGGAGGAGGGGGGGACGGCGGGGGATTGATCTAGAGGAGCAGCAAGAGGAAGCTCACTTTGCCAGACGCCCCCCAGGTCGTCCGTGATCACCTTCCCGAGCGAGTACTTGTCGAAAACTCGCTTGCGGAACTGGACCTGCTTGTACCGCGGATAGGGAAAGGAGGGTAGGAATGGGGAAGAACACGCTCTCGATATTCCGGGAGGAAATTCCGACCAAGTAGGCGATGAGTAGGTCGAGGGTAGGCGACGAGTAGGTCGAGGGTAGGCGACGAGGAGGTCGAGGGTAGGCGACGAGGAGGTCGAGGGTAGGCGAGGAGTAGCCGGGTACTCGTCACAGGTTGGGCATCACGGAGGTCGAGAGCAAACGAGCTGGGGAGAAACCAGACGAGCGTGAGCTGGTAGAGCGAAGGAGCGAGGGCGTGCGAGCGTTGACGGCATACCTGTGACGACACGACGTGCGTCTGGCCGCCCTTCTTCATCGTGTACCACGTGGCGATCCGCCACCACTGCCACGCCGACACCGCCTTGGAGTCCTGCGGATGACGGAGATGAACGGAGATGGACGGAGATGGACGGAAATGGACGGAGGTGGACGGAGATGAAAGGAAATCACCGCAGGATACGAGCGAACATTCGCAGCTACACGGCATAGGCACAAACGAGAGAGAAACCTCAAAGAAGACCCCGAAAAGAAGAAGAAGAAGAAGAAAGAACTCTCGCTCGTTACCTTGGGCCGACCATTCGCAGCTACACGGCTCGTTACCTTGGGCGTGGTGTTGTTGTTGGAGAGCGAGTAGACGAAATTCTCGACGATGTTGACTTCCGCCATGGACCAGGAGCCGTAGTAGATGATAAACACCTTGATCGGTATCTTCGCCATCACCCACCCGCCGTGGTACCGAATCGGCAGCGCCTTGCGGCGATTCCATCGATTCCATTGCCATGCGAAGGTTCGCGCGATTCGGAGCTCCCGCGACCGCCTCGTCGCGTCGGCCGCCGCCATCACCGTCGATTGGCGAGGCGCCGCGGATAGCGGCTGTGCGACTGTCTGCGATTTAACTGAACTACTACTACTCTGGGATTCGGTGGGATTGCTTCTCTCGGTGGAGAACGGTGGACTGGTTGGCTGGGGAGTCAAGCTGGTGCGGCGCGTCGCGACGATGCCTGAGGAGCTTCGAGAAGCGGCCTGGTTCTGAGAGCTGCTGCTAACCATGTATCTCTTAGACGTCACTGGAACGACGTTGACTAGATCCGACGGTCTAAAATTCCCGCCGGCTGCTCTGCAGAGCAGCGATGCAACGAGCATCATGAAAAAGGCGCTGACTCGGTTTGGTCGGTTGACTCGGCCGATTCGGTTGGCTCGGCCCACGCGGCGCGTGGACGCCATGGCTCCAATCTGCCTGGACCGCGACCGGTCGCTTAGTAACTAACGTACCTATTAGGTACAGCTAGCGTTGCAACGAGATACAGGGTAGCTAAACTGAATACAGCCGCGTTTGTTGCTCCTGACAGCAGGAAGCAACGAAATCCATTCTGCAGAAAAGAATGAAAGTCACTTCGAAGGAATCGCATGCGGAGGCTTAAGGCTGTCAGAACGTTGTCATGGCCGAAACGAGCCTTTCACTCTTGAATCAAAAGGAAGGTTCGCGTTCTGAGAATAGGGACGTGTCTTAGATAGGCTCTGAAGCTACAGAGCGGACGGCCATGGCTATTCGAGTCCGCCATGTAGAGAGGGGAGGATTAGTGTAACCAGAAACCCAGCTCGAGGGAGCACTGCGAAGAGGGAGCGCTGCGAAGAGGGAGCACTGATCCTAGCCAGTGGGAAAGGAGGTTTAGCCACCTGTCGCTGTTGTGCGGTTAGGTTCAGACGAGATGAAATAAGTGAATCCATGGCAGAAAGGGCTGACTGCTTTGTGAATCCATGGCGGGCAAGTGGGGGGGAGGTGGGAAGGAGAGGATGAGGAGGCAGCAAGGGAGGATCCTATGGTGCAATGTGTACAATTGTTTATCAGAACCCTCTTCAACCGTTTTCGAATGTTTTGAACCGTCTGAAACCAGAGGAACATTACCGAACTGAAATAAAACGTACGCGCTGCTTTGGCGACCAGCAGCACCCTCTGCGAAACATCAGTCCTTCTCAGTCCACAAGAATTCGCCCCTGTGCGACGTTGGATGCGATCTGCGCGAAGGATTTCACCGAATGCACCGAGGGAAATGCGTCGCAGGCTCGAGTCAAGCAGCGCGGAGCGGAGAGGAGCAGAAGGGGGCGGGGCGGATCGGCGGGGCGCAACTGAGCGGGGGAAGGGAAAGGGAAGAGAGCGCCACGGGGAGATGGGCGGCCGGGCATCGAGATTCGGTTGCGACTGTCATGCCAGAAGCACACATTCATTTCGGCCTGCCCGATGTGACGAAGCGCCGCCCCGGTGGGAACCGCATCAGGAAAAAAGGGGCTTGGGAGGGGCCCATCGACGTCTCAGGATAGCTGTACGCGCGCGAATTATGGTCGATGGACGGTGGATAGGGATTCGTTAGCGCCATTGTCTTCCCCGACCAGCTTCGGTGGGAAGGCGGCGCCAAAACCCACTGTTGTCCTTGTTTTTCCCTGCCCGGTGACCACGATACAAAAAACCCGACCACAAGAGCCACGGAGGGGCAGAAAGTGCCTGCCCAGGTTCATTCTCCAGTCACTATGTGGAACCAGAAAGAGAGAATTTCCAGCTGACCCGGACAAACATTGCAATCACAATATCTCCATCCAGAGTGAAGCATTAGGGCTTGTCTAACGCCCACGCTTGACTGTGGTTGGGTGAGGTGCTTCCTTGATCAGAAGGATCAAGAACAAGCTGAAACGGTTGATAGGGGTTTGAGCAAAAGCGTACATGTTGGACATGTCCTGGGGTAACACCCTACACTTTTGCCCAGATTGTGAAAGTTTTCCACGGGCAGCCAAGCTGCTCGAGGAAGCAATCACCTCCCTGACGCGCGCCGCCGCGTTTCTTGACTCACTAAGAACCCTTAGCGGTGGACGAGCTAAGCGGCGGCGAGTCCCCATGAACGCGTATAACGAGTATTAGATTGAATACACCCAACGTAGTCAATCGTGTACACAAACACATAAATACATCAAGCCATCAACCCGACCTCCATCTAGCTTTTGATGAATAGAGATAGACACAGCTTATCCACATGGATGATCTAGCACATGCTACAGCACCCCATGATAATAAACAGATGATAATAGGTGGTAAGCTTAAAACAGATTGGGGCAGATGAGCCATTGTAGCAATGACACTGTCAAAACTTGTACCCCATTACTAGACACAGGTTCAGATGGATCTGAACCACCCAGTGGGCTCCTAAGGCGATAACACACCAGTAACTAGTTTTACTGCAAACATGACCATGCCTACACTACTCTACTCAACCTCTGTCCCACATCCGCTACCTTCCTGGTATCCCACACCTTGAGCTTCCCCTTGGACCCTCCCATCGCCAGGAAACCAGGAGCATCGGCGCAAAACGCCACCGAGAAAACAGCGCCCAGCTTAGGGTTTGACGACTCCATGCAGCGCGCCTGGTTGCCCGTGAGATCCCACAGCTTCACTGTCTTGTCCGTCGACCCAGACGCCAGGAGATGCGGGATTTTAGGGTTCCAGGAAACGGTGCACACCGCCTTGGTGTGCGCATGAATCGTGAAGAGGGCGTTCGGGAAGGGGGAACCGGGGGATGCTGAGCTGGCGATAGGGTTGGTGGTGCCAGTGCTGCTGCACGCCCGCGTGTCGTGGCAACAGATAAGCCCGTCCTCAGAAGAGACGACGAATCGGGTGCTGTCGTGTGGGTCCCACGCAAGGGCCTCCACGTCAGCAGAGACGCCCCACCGCAGCACTGTAGCATCAGGCGATCGAACATCCGTCTGAGTGGGGGCGAGGAGGACAGAACAGAAGAGGGGTGGAACTATGAGACTCTAATCAAAGGGGTGCACGGAGAGAGGTTTGGATAGGTTTGCACGGCAAGCCCAAACAAAGGAGGATGGGCGGAAAAGGAGGGGGACTAAGTATGGTAAGGAATGTTTGGAAAAGTGGGAAGGGAAGGGCAGCCGAATTGAAGAGAGCCAAGAGGAGAGACGCCTACCAGAGCAAGGGAGCAGTCAAACGACCCCGAGAGCAACATGGTGGGCGCCCACACCTTCACACACCGATCAGAGCTGATAACGCACCTACCAGAGGCACTGAGGCGCCTACTCCTACCAGGGGAATGTTGAACCTACCAGCACGAGCGAGCGGTCAAACGACCCCGAAAGCAGCATGGTGGGCTGCAGGGGCGCCCACGCCACAGCCTGCACCTTGCCGGTGTTTCAGAGTCACCTGAGAAACCCATGAGGCACCTACCAGAGCGATTGTGCGGTCAAACGATCCAGAAAGCAGACTGGTAGGCTGCAGGGGCGCCCACGCCACGGCCTGCACCTTGCCGGTGTGCGGCTTGAGCGTGCGGTCGCAGCGCTGGGCGGCCATGTCCCACACCTTCACCCGCCGGTCCTCGCCGCCACTCGCCAGCACGTTGCGGTACTCGCGGTTCCACGAGAGGGCCATCACCGCGCCCTTGTGACTCCCCTCCTTTAGCACTGCTGCTGCTGACTTTTGAACCTTTCCTGCCTTCCCTTGTCGGCTGCTTCCGCTCTGCTTTGCTTCCCTCTCCTGGCCCTTCCTCCCCTTCCTTCCCTTCCTTCCTCCTTTGTCCTTCTCCCCTTTCTTTCCCTTTGAACCCTTCTTAACCCCTGAACCCCCTCCCCCCCCTCTCCCATCTCCTCCTCTTCCACCTCCTCCCACTCCCCCTCCTCATCCTCCTCTTCCCCATCCGCCCCCTGACCCCCCGCTGTTGTCACAAACCCCCCTAAAGATGCAGCGGGTTCGACCTCGTCTAAAACATCCAAGTCCCAAATCTCAATAGCAGGGTCCATAGTCGCAACTGCCACGAAGTTTCCTGGCGCCAGGATGCTCGCGCCGCCTCCCGCGGCGGCAACTGCGACGGCGGCCGCCCCGGCGGAAGCACCGGCGGAACCGGCGGCGGCGGAGGCGGGATTGAAGTCCATCCAGGCGAGCGCGAGGGGGAACGCGGGGAGCATGATATCGTGGTGCACGTACATGTTGAGCTCCTTGTCGTTTTGCGCCACGTCCTCGTCCTCCCCCTCCTCCCCCCGCTGCTGCTGCTGCTGCTCCTCGCACACCCATACCTCGATGAAGCTGACGTCATCCTCGTTTCTTGCCGCGAGAATGAGCAGGTCTGTATCGCGTATGGTCAGATCTTCGATCTCCTCCTCCTCGTCATCGTCGATCCCCCCCTCTGCTTTGGTCAGGTACGGATCTTCCTCGTTGCTTCGGTAATAAGCCGCGCCGATGCCCTTCCCCGTACCGAACAGGTTCGGCGCCGCGTCAGCCTCGTCGTCATAGTGGTCCATGTCCAGCTCAGCAAGCTCGTCTGCCAGCCTGTCATCCGCCGATTGGCCCTTCTTCGCTTTCCGAATCTCCGCCGCAAGCGCCGCCGCCGCCGCCGCTGCCTCCTCCCCGTCTGCCTCCCCGTCCTCCTCCTCCTCCTCACCCTCCTCCTCTTCCTCCTCCATAGCAGCGTCCTCGTCGTTCTCTGCGTCCCCCTCTGCGTCTCTCTCATCTCCTTCCTCAGCGTCAGCGGCGCCGCCAGCTACGGCGGCGGCGGCGGCGGAGGCGGCGACGCCTTCGGCGCGGCGGCGCACCTCCGCGACCTCGTCCTCGTCGAGCTCCGCCGTTTTGGGGAACGGCTTCGCCGCGCCGCGCGGGACCCACGAGATTGCGGACAACATGGCGACGGGTTACAATGTCACGACTGAGGGTTTGAGATCGCTACACTCGAGATGGAGTGATGACGCAGGCTGCAACGCGCTCGTGAACTCGTGAAATTGCCGTGCGGTGCGTGAGGTGCGGGAGGTTTGGGAAGTGGTGGGAGGAAAATAGAGGGGCAAAAATGAAAGCTTGAGTTTGAGACGGAGTTCAGGGTTGTAGGGGGAAAGGTTTAGGGTTGTGTAAGAAGTTACCAGATCCCGTCGCAAATTCTCCTCGCCAGCCAGCTGCCGTCGTCGCCGCAATACTGCTGAGCTGCAATGTAGCTACCGCTGCAAGTACACTTTCGTCGCCAGAACTGAAACCAAGGCTGGTTACAGTTTTCGTCTAGGCCTTCCTGGTTTCGTCCATTCGCCTGCTATGGCGTTCGTGGCACACAGAAGCTCCTCATCCTGGACCACGGAATGGATCTGGGAATTCAGACAAGCCTCGGGAACTCCACTATATCGAAACGACGGATGAAAGCACTCGTTATTGGAACATTCTCTCGTACGCCCCCCTTTTCTTGTTTTGTCCGCGAGACCTCAAAGCCAGATCTGGCTTTCTGCCTTCAAATTCCCGCTTCGAATCTCTTCCTCATTTTTTTCTCCTGCTTTCACTCCTCCCCGTGTCTAGATTTCTCCCGTGCTGTCTGACCAGCCTGCTGACTCGGAAGCTTTGACTGATATTAGACGCACGGATTAATAGAATCTGGTTATCTTCGTTCCGAGCTACCGATTCCAGCCCCCTTATTGTCGATCTCATTCATCGGCATAGTGTGCTAGATCGCGTTGAGTCGATTCTTCCTGCTTCCTCGTCTGATCATCTGTCAGTCGACTCTTCCCGTCGATCCGCCGTGTATCAAGCGCATCGTGGATCGAATTTACTTCTCGAAGTGTCATTGATCCTGGGTGCGACCTTAAATCCGTGAACCTTCAAGCTCCCCACGTGAAGGATACTTGAATTCTTGAATCCCCAAGCTCTCTCGTGCCGGCTGACTGATCCCGTGTTTCGAGTCCCTTCGAAAACCTTCACAGGCTGACGTGCCGATTCTCATCTGCTGCCGTTCATCGACATTTGCTTCCCACGTAATAAATCCCCGATCCTACAAGCTCTCGCTCCTGCCGGCTGACTCGTCCCGTCGCCATGGCATCGGAAGGCGATAAGATCACGCCCGAGCTGGAGGCTTCCGTCAACTCTCCAGGCGTGAACGGCAACGCCGACGCTCCAGAAATCACGGATGGAGCGAAACCCGATGCTCCGGGTGCTGCGGCCACAGCAGGATCCGCAATTGCAGCAGCAGATGCAGCAGCAGAAACAGCCGCAGCAGGAGGAGGCGAAGGAGGAGGGGATGGTGGTGTTAGTGGTGGAGAGGGAGCGAAGAAGGCGGGGGAGGGGAGCAAGGAGGGGAAGGAGAGCGACGCGCAGGCGAATCTGGAGAAGAAGAAGGCGCGCGCGGAGCGATTTGGGACCGAGCTGACCATCAGCGAAGCGGAGAAGCGCCGCCTGCGGGCCGAGCGGTGAGCCATGCGATGCTCGCGAAACCGAATCTCGCGAAACTGAGTCTCGCACGCAAGTCCTGATCATTTCGCCACTTCGCGTGTGCGTGCTCTGCATGCTGGGCCGTGTCGCACGGTCCGGCACTCAGGACCGTGTTTCTCATGCTTCGCGTGCCACGTGTTTCCTCTCCCCTCCCCCGCGCCTCCTCCCGTCAGGTTCGGCACTCTGGAGCCGGCGCCGGAAGATGCTAGGAAGGCGCAGCGAGCGGCCAAGTTCGGAACTGGTGCGAATGGCGCCAGTGGCGCTAGCGGCGCGGGTGGCGCGGGTGGCGCGGGTGGCGCGGGTGGTGGTGGCAGCAGCAGCCAGGCGGACAAGGCAGCGGAAGAAGCGCGGAAGAAGGCACGCGCGGAACGGTATGTCGCGCCCTCGATTTGTCTCATTCCAGATCTTCTTGCGAAGCGGGAGGCCCGAGCCAGCAGCCGGCACTGCACTCTACTGCCGCTTCCTCCTTCTCTGCGCCTCTGCTTGGTCCCACCTCCACGTCCTCATCCCCTTTCTCATCGCTCGCCCTCATCCCACGCCCGCATCACACGTCCTCATCGCACGTCCTCATCCCACGCCCGCATCGCTCGCCCTCATCGCACGTCCTCATCGCACGTCCTCATCGCACGCCCTCATCCCACGCCCGCATCCCACGCCCTCATCCCACGCCCGCATCGCTCGCCCTCATCGCACGTCCTCATCGCACGTCCTCATCGCACGCCCTCATCCCACGCCCGCATCGCACGTCCTCATCCCACGCCCGCATCGCACGTCCTCATCCCACGCCCGCATCGCACGTCCTCATCCCACGCCCGCATCGCACGTCCTCATCCCACTTACTACAGGTTCGGCACCACTCAGCCCTCTGCCCTGAGCGCTGAGGAAGCCGCAAAGCGGGAGGCTCGAGGCAAGAAGTTTGGGACGGCGGGGGATGGCGCTGCGGCAGCAACGGCAGGCGGCGATAAGAAGAGAGCGACCGACGACGCGTGAGTGGTGGGAAATCTGGATGAGGATGGGGGGACGTTTGCGGGGAGGTTTGGAAGTGAAGGGCTTGAGCCAAGAAGGTTTGGGACGGTCGGGGATGGCGCTGCAGCAGCTGTGGCAGGCGGCGATAAGAAGAGAGCGACCGACGACGCGTGAGTGGCGGGAAATGAAGGGCTTGAGTTTGGATGAGGATGGGGGGACGGGAGGTTTGGAAGTGAAGGGCTTGAGCCAAGAAGGTTTGGGACGGTCGGGGATGGCGCTGCAGCAGCTGTGGCAGGGGGAGATAAGAAGAGGGCGACCGATGACGCGTGAGTGCGGCAGCGTACGCTTTAAGGCACCCTTGAGTCGACACCTTGATTCACCTCCTCTCCCCCCACCGTGCTGTCGCGCCCTCTCTTCTCCTCCCTCCCGCCTGCCAGATCTATCGCCGCGGACAGCGAGCTCGAGGCGAAGCAGAAGGCTAATTTACCCTTAAGTCGACACTTTGACTCATCCTCTCTCGGCCCCACCGTGCTGTCGCGCCCTCTCTGTCTCCCTCTCCCGTCTGCCAGATCGATCGCCGCGGACAGCGAGCTCGAGGCTAAGAAGAAGGCTCGGGAAGAGAAGTTCGGCACATCCGTGCCGTCTGCTTAGGCGCGGCGGGGGAATGGAGGGGGGGTGAGGAGGGGGGAGGGGAGGGGATGGCAGCAGGAGGAGAAGGGGATGTGCGGCGCAGCGTGCGGGAGCGGGTGGGAGGAGGGGGATGTGCGGTGCAGGGTGTGGGAGTGGGTGGGAGGAGGGGGGTGTGCGGTGCAGCGTGCGGGAGGGGGTGGGAGGAGGGGGATGTGCGATGGAGGGTGCGGGAGCGGGGACGTGACAGCAGCTGTGGGGGAAAGGTGGCGCGTGTACGGGTGGCTGTGGGGAGCAGGGCGGGGCGCAGGGCGGGGGCGCAGGGCGGGGGAGCAGGGCGGGGGAGAAGGGCGGGGGCGCAGGGCGGGGGAGCAGGGCGGGGGAGTAGGGCGGGGGCGCAGGGTGGGGGAGCAGGGCGGGGGAGCAGGGCGGGGGAGCAGGGCGGGGGAGCAGGGCGGGGGCGCAGGGCGGGGGCGCAGGGCGGGGGAGCAGGGCGGGGGCGCAGGGCGGTTCTCGGTGTGGGAGTGTTAGGGTAGCGGTGGGGGTGGGAGATGCGCTAGGAAATAGGTTGGGGGTGTGAGGGCAGCAGATGCGCGTTAGGGGGGAGATGCGGGTTGCAGCACGTGGAATTGGGGAGGTGGCAGCCGCTGAGGGGGGAAGAAAGGGGAATATGATGGCGACGGTGCGCGCTTGGTTGGGCCGCAAGAGCAGCGGTGATGGAGGGAGGAGGGGGTGGAGGGGGAGGGGTTAGGCGCCTCTAGAGTAAGATTCAGGAAGTTGTAGCTGCGGGGTGGAAGAATGGTGGCGACGGTGTGTGTTTGGTTGGCGACGGTGTGTGTTTGGTTGGGCGTAAGGCAGCAGCTGCTGTGGTAACGGAGGGGTTGCCTCAAAATGAGAGAAGGGGAGTTGCCCAAGTGAAGAGGTTGGGTAAGCGGGTGTGTGGTGGGGGCGATGTGTGTTTGGCTGTGGACCAGCTGGGGCGTTGGAGCAGCTGCGGTGGCAGCGGGAGTCTTGAGCGCGTCAGAATGTGTATGCGCCGCAGGGGGGGGAGGGTGTGCGCCACAGGGGGGGGAGGGTGTGCGCCACAGGGGGGGGAGGGTGTGCGCCGCAGGGGGGGGGGGGTATGCGAGGTGTGGAGTGGACGGACCTGGTTTGGGAAGGCGGCAGCCGCTAGGAAAGGAGAGTAAGGAGAGAAAGGAGAGAAAGGAGAGAGAGGAGGGATCGCTGATCGGTGTTGGCAGAAGTAGTTCGCCGTGCAGCTTATAGGGGGAGGCTGGGGGAGATTGGGGGAGGCTGGGGGAGATTGGGGGAGGCTGGGGGAGATTGGGGGAGGCTGGGGAGATTGGGGGAGGCTGGGGGAGATTGGGGGAGGCTGGGGGAGATTGGGGGAGGCTGGGGGAGATTGGGGGAGGCTGGGGGAGATTGGGGGAGGCTGGGGGAGATTGGGGGAGGCTGGGGGAGATTGGGGAAGGGAAGGCAGCAGCCGCTAGGAAAAGAGGGCTGGCGAATGTTGTACGGGGTACACCCAGGGTCGGGCCGAGCTGCACGGATCCATGTATGGGGTGCGGCTTGTTGGGGGAGGTTGGGGAAGGCACGGGGGCAGCAGCTGCAGGTATGGGGAGGTGAGGCAGCAGCGGGCCAAGCTGCACAGATTTTGTATGGGGTGTGCGGCTTGTGGGGGGAGGTTTGGGAATGCGAAGGCAAGAACTGCAGGTATGGGGAGGTGAGGCAGCATTGGCCCGAGCTGCACGGATCCATGTATGGGGTGCGGCTTGCTGGGGGAGGTTGGGGAAGGCACGGGGGCAACAGCTGCAGGAATGGGGAGGTGAGGCAGCAGCGCGGGAGGGGCAGCAGCGTATGATGGTGGCTGTGCTGCGGGGCGATGGTTGGGCGAGTCAAGGCAATTTGGGGCAGGTTGGGGCAGGTTGGGGCAGGTTGGGTGCGTTGTGGAGGAAAGGAGGTGGGTGATGGGGGCTATATGAGGTGTGGGGTTGGCGGCTGTGTGGCGGCTGTGTGAGGTGTCTTTTGAGAGAACACCACTTGGTGGTGGTTTTAGCCATACGTGGCAGCGGGCTTGTAGAACACTTTGTTTAGAGAAAAATTCTTGCTCTGAAAAATCTCTTGAAAACGTAGGGCAAAAATTGATGGTAACTAGTTTCGGCAGGTGGCTGCCTTCATCAGACCATGTGAGCTATATGATGGGTGATGGGGGCTATATGAGGTGTGGGGTTGGCGGCTGTGTGGCGGCTGTGTGAGGTGTCTTGTGAGTCGACTCACCAGACATCGAAGGTCAGGTTGGGGAGAATATGCGCTGTTCGGCGCGCGTGGAGAAGGTGTTCCGCACGCCTGGAGAAGGTGTTTGGCACGCGTGGAGAAGGTGTTCGGCGCGCGTGGAGAAGGTGTTCGGCACGCGTGGAGAAGGTGTTCGGCGCGCGTGGAGAAGGTGTTCGGCACGCGTGGAGAAGGTGTTCGGCACGCGTGGAGAAGGTGTGGGGTGCGCATGGAGAAGGTGTGGGGTGCGCGTGGAGAAGGTGTGGGGTGCGCGTGGAGAAGGTGTGGGGTGCGCGTGGAGAAGGTGTGGGGTGCGCGTGGAGAAGGTGTGGGGTGCGCGTGGAGAAGGTGTGGGGTGCGCGTGGAGAAGGTGTGGGGTGCGCGTGGAGAAGGTGTGGGGTGCGCCTGGAGAGGCAGGGGCAAGGGAGGAGGGGGATAGCTTCTGTAGCAGACTTATGTCTTCTGCTGTACCTGCCTTCAACCTCCAGCAGTATTCAGCAGCAGCAGCTGCAGCACCAGCAGCAGTATCCAGCAGCAGCTCCACCACCACCAGCACAAGCAGCAGTATACAGCAGCAGCAGCAGCAGCAGCAGCATCAACACCACCAGCACCAGCACCAGCACCAATATGCAGCAGCAGCCTACATTCTTCAGCCATCTGCAGCAGTGCAGATGGAGTGCAGATGGAGTTCTGGAGCGCAGATGGAGTTCTGGAGCGCAGATGGAGTTCTGGAGCGCATGATGCAGCCATCTGCAGCAATGATTTCAGTTCTTCTGGAGGGCATAACCGCTGCGTTCTGTGCTCTCACCCGTTCCACTGCCGCCTGTTCCACTGCCGCCCCTTCACACTGCCGCCCCTTCCACTGCCGCCCATTCCACTGCCGCCCATTCCACTGCCGCCCATTCCACTGCCGCCCATTCCACTGCCGCCCATTCCACTGCCGCCCATTCCACTGCCGCCCATTCCACTGCCGCCCATTCCACTGCCGCCTCTTCCATGCCTGCGTGCCACACCAGTGGCCAGTGGCCATGCCTCCATCCGCTCACTGCTTGCGCCTAACTTTCCGCCAGCCAGTGCCTGCTTCTGCTGCGCCAAGCTTCTGAACGAATCAACTCGCCCCTCTTCTCAACGCGCCCCTCTTCTCAATGCACCCCTCTTCTCAGCACTCGACACGCCTCGTGCTTGCATTGCTTGCATTGTCTCCCTCCATCCTGCCCTCTTCACATACTCGTCTCAACCCGACGGGTGGTCATCGACTCCGCTCCGCCTGCAGCCGCTCTGCCTGCAGCCGCTCCGCCTGCAACTGCTCCCTCCCAACTGCACTCGTGATACGACTCGTTCCTACCATTACTGCCTCTTGCCTGCTTGCCTCCCGGCCTTCCTGTTCTCTCTCCACGCAGCAACTCCGTGCATCTAGCCAAGCAACCACCGTGTCTGCAACCACCGTGCCTGCTACCTGCAATTACCTAGAAGCCCTCTCCACATGCCCTCAGTTGCACTCGCAACCATCAGCCGATCTGCGCACTGCTGCCCTGCGCACTGCACACTGCTGCCCTGCGCACTGCGCACTCGCAACTCCATCCTCGTGTTTTCCACCTCTGCCTTCTCCCTCTCACTCTCTCTCTCTCTCTCTCTCCCTTCTCTTCTTTCCCATGTCAATTCCGGCTCCCTGCTTTCGTCCCTTCGTCTTTCGCTCGGTCATTTTCTGGTCATGTTCTTTCACTTTGCTCGGGCTTGCATTTCGCTCCAACTCTGTCTCCGACGCTCTATTCAGTCGTTGGGTGTTGTCTGGGTTCCTTCCAAGTCATGCTTTTCTTCGTCGTGTCGTGATTTGCTTCTTGCTTCTTTCTGCCTTTGCTTCTTGCTTCTTCCTATCTTCCCATCTCGTCTTGGATTCTACTTCTCCACCTTCCTTCCTACACATTACAATAGCTGCCACGTGTAAGCAGCTCTGGAATATGTACCCTTTGCCAGATGGCTTGCTTTCAAAACTATGTGTTGCAAGAAGTACTTACAACGTGTGCTGGAGGGCCGGAGGGTTGCTAGGAGTGCTGCAGGGTTGCAGTCAGCGCTGGATGGTTCCAGTGAGTGCTGGCGGGTTGCTTGAAGCGCTACAGGGTTGTGACGCTGCAGGGTTGCTAGGGTTTGCAATGAGCGGTAGATTCCGAAGGTGGGCATACCTTTTCAATCCTCCTGTATTGCTAATTTGATCAGAATTACCACACTACCTCTTCTCAGTCTCGTGTTTCTAATTTGAGCAGAATTACCTCTACCCATTTTCAGTCCTGTATTGCCAATTTGATCAGAATTACTACATTTAAATACAGACATTTGCACACAGACATGCCATGGCTTCCTGGCACATACACCAAGATCCCAGTCTTCTTCTTACATAACTGTTGTAGCTACCAGACCAGAAGCTAGGGTCATCATTCTACTACTGCTACATTTCACAGCACGGATGAATACTTTACCAGCCACAAAAATCTACCATGCTAACTGCCCTTTCTACATTGACATAGCTTGCTCCTATGCAATGCAATTCCGATTATTTTTTCAAGCAATAAAATCAGAAACCAGGAATTTAAATCCCCACGGCTATCATGCTATGCATGGTATGCATTGTGCTATGCAGCACATCCATGCATACCGGTGGTATTATTGTGTACTACCACTGTTCAATATAAACTTGGACCCCTCTTGGCCGTCAGGGGCGCTAGCGCTGCCCCTAGCGTTACACCCGGACACCACTGTGAGGTGGGGGACCGCCCGGGAAAAGCATGGCCCATAAGGGGCAAGGGACCGGATTCCCCACATCAATAAACTGGAACCATGTTCGAGAGCACTGGCCAGGGGATTCAGTTTCCCGGGTGAGTGGCTCTGCGACAGATGGTGCCCACGGCAAAGAGATGTACATAATAGTTTCCCCGTTAGTTTACCCATAGTGGTAACCAGACCATTGGCCGGGAAATCCGGTTTCCCAACCAATGGCTGGGATAATATATACCAGTAACCCAAATCAAGTAAGAAGCAAGAAGTTCCCCAGCCACTACTCGGGGGATTGGCCCCCCTGGTAGTGGTTAGGATATATAGTTGCCAAAAGGGCTAGGAAAGAGGTTTCCGAAGCCATTGCTCGGGAGATTGCGCCCGTTGTAGTGGTTAGGATGTATAGCTGCCCCAAAGGGCTAGGAAAGAGGTAGTTCCCCAAGCCACTACTCGGGGGATTGGTCCCCCAAGCAGTGGTTGGGACATGTGGTTGAAAAACAGGAAGGAGGGAAGAGGAAGTTTCCCACGCCACTGGTTTTGGGAGATTTAGACTCCACAGCAATGGTTGGGACATGCCATAATAATGGCTAGGTTGCCATAATAATGGCTAGGATATATCGTTTCCATGAAAATGGCAAGAATATATAGTTTGCCATGATAATGGCTAGGATATACATTGTGCCATCATCATGGCTAGGATAAGACATATACCACCTCGCCACCACCTTTCGCCCCCCCGCCTTCAGCTTCCCCCCCGCCTTCAGCTTCCCCCCCCCCTTCAGCTTCCCCCTCGCCTTCAGCTTCCCCCCCCGCCTTCAGCTTCCCCCTCCCCTTCAGCTTCCCCCCCGCCTTCAGCGTCCCCCCCGCCTTCAGCTTCAACTCCCCTGCTGGATTCTCAGCTTCAGCTTCCCCCCTCTGCTTCAGCCACACCTGGTGCTCCAGCTTCCTTCTATACTTCAGCTCCCCTCTCTCCTTCAACATCCCCCCTCTGCTCCCCTCTGCTCGAGGTTTCCCCCTCTTCTTCAGCTTCCTTCTCTGCTTCAGCCTCCCCCCTCTGCGTCCTTTGAGACAGCTGCATCCTCTGCTACAGCTGCATCCTCTGCTTCAGCTCACCCCCTCTGCACTCTCTCCTTTAGAGTCACCTTCTGCTGCACCTGCCGTCTCTGCTGCACCTGCCGTCTCTGCTGCACCTGCCGTCTCTGCTGCACCTGCCGTCTCTGCTTCAGCATCCCTCCTCTCTGCCGCAGCTGCCTCCCCTTGGCCCGCCGCCCCAGTCTCTCAACCCTCCATCACTCCTCCTCGCGGGTCAACGCCCCTTCAGCTCCGCGCTCCACCACCCCATTGGCTCATGGGGGAACCCTCTACCGTCCACCCAGCATGCTCGGAAAACTCTGGGAGCCTTGTTGGGCGTGCGCTCATCACCCCCCCTCGTCCCAGCTCCGCCCTCCACCACCCCATCGGCTCATGGGTAAACCCCCTGCAACGCCGCTCTTCTACGCTCCCCCGATCCCCTCCTCTCTGCTGCACGATGGTGGTGGGCGGTGGACGGTGGATGGTGGAGGGAGAATGGTGGATGGTGGAGGGAGGATGGTGGATGGTGGAGGGAGGATGGTGGAGGGAGGATGGTGGAGGGAGGATGGTGGAGGGAGGATGGTGGAGGGAGGATGGTGGAGGGAGGATGGGTCGCAGCTGCCTCCTCCTCCACAGGCCTTCGCTCTCCTCTGCCCTCTCCTCCTCTGCTCCTCTGCTCCTCTGCTCCCCCCTCCCTCCTGCCGAGATGCGCTCCCTTTAGCAACGGCACACACTGCTGCCACGGGAAAAGGAGGCGCCTCCTGCACAGGGGAACAGGTGGGGGGAGGGACAGAAATGTGAGAGATAAGTAAGCAAAGCGGCATTCTGTCCATAGAAATCTCAAATGAAGAGAACATGACAAGCTAGTGTTCCACGGCCGAGCCACCTACTTGCCAGTGCAACACCGCCCACCACTGCTGCCCCCTCATTGCTGCAGTTACCGCCACTGCTGCGGGATGGTGGACGGAGGATGGAGGATGGAGGATGGAGGATGGTGGATGGTGGATGGTGGATGGTGGATGGTGGATGGTGGATGGTGGATGGTGGAGGGAGGATGGAGGATGGAGGATGGTGGATGGTGGAGGGAGGATGGAGGATGGAGGATGGTGGATGGAGGATGGTGGATGGAGGTTGGTGGATGGAGGGTGGTGGAGGGAGGATGATGGAGGGAGGATGGTGGATGGAGGTTGGTGGATGGAGGATGGTGGAGGGAAGATGATGGAGGGAGGTTGGTGGATGGTGGATGGTGGATGGTGGGTGGTGGAGGGAGGATGATGGAGGGAGGTTGGTGGATGGTGGATGGAGGATGGAGGATGGAGGATGGTGGATGGTGGATGGTGGATGGTGGGTGGTGGGTGGTGGGTGGAGGATGGGTGGAGGGAGGATGCCTTGCGCTCCCCTCTGCTCCACACTCCCGCCTGCAGCGCCGCGCTCCCCTTAGCACCGGCACACTGCTGCCGTGGGAAATGGAGGCGTCTCCTGCACAGCGGAACAAGGGGGGGATAGAAATGGGAGACAGAACGGGTTAGAGAAACAAAAAGTTCCGCAACGAGGCATCCTTGAAAATCTCAAAAGAAGAGAATAAAACAAGTTAGAATTCCAAGGCAGAGCCAACGCACCTTCTGCCAGTGCAGCAACGCCCGCCAGAGCTGCCCCCTCCCCTTGCTGCAGCTCCCGCCACTGCTGCTGCCGCCTGGAAAAGGAAAAGGAGGCGCCTCCAGCACAGGGGAACAAGAGGGGGGGCATAAATGAGAGAGATAAGGTGTTAGGGAAAGCGGCAGACAGAAAGGAGGAGTTCAGCAAATCGTCATTCTGCCCATTGAGAGAAATCTCAGATGAAGAGAATAGAATAAATGAAGAGAATAAAACAGGCTAGTATTCCAAGGCAGAGCCACCGCACCTTCTGCCAGTGCAGCAGTGCTCTCCTCCAGCCCTGCCTTAGCACCGACGCACACTGCTGCCATGGGAAAAGGAGGCGCCTCCTGCACAGCGGAACAGTTAGGGGGGAATAGAAATGGGAGACAACATGTTACGAGAAATGGGAGGCGCCTCCCGCACGTGCTGCCAACGCCTGAGGGGAGGAATTCAACGCCTGAGGGGAGGAATTCAACGCCTGAGGGGAGGAATTCAACGCCTGAGGGGAGGAATTCAACGCCTGAGGGGAGGAATTCAACGCCTGAGGGGAGGAATTCAACGCCTGAGGGGAGGAATTCAGCGCCTGAGGGGAGGACAAGAGCCAGTAGAGAGCCAGAAGAGAGTATCAGAAACTGAGAACTTGATTAATTGAAATGAGCAAGAGCATACATCCTTAAGTACCGAGCATCGGAGAGGATGGGAAGGGATAAGGGAGAATCGGAGGGAATCCCAAGGGAATCCTCCCAAATCGTGGGGATTTGGGATGGATTGGGTTGGGATAGGTTGGGGATGAAAACATAGCTACACCCAACCTAACAAATATGAGTATCCCTAAAACCAAGAAAGTGTCAACACACAAAATTGTGCCAACCGAATTGCAGCCTATCTCTAACACACCCCCTAGGCTGCAACGTCGGAAGCCGTAGGGACGCCAAGTCCCATGGTACGGAGGAGACGATAGTGATCACGGCGTCCAAGAGCCTTCGTAAACAAGTCGGCGAGGTTGCAGTCAGAGGAAATATGCTTGACGCACAACTGCCCTCGCTGGACGAGCTCGCGCATGAAGAAGTGTCTCAATTCGATGTGCTTGGTTCGTTGGTGGAAGACAGGATCTTTGGTGAGGTGGATAGTGCTCTCGTTATCACACCACAGAGTCGGGGTCTGCTGAGGATACCCGAGCTCAGCCATGAGGTAGGTAAGCCATCGAGCTTCTTGGGCTGCCATGGTGCCTGCGTATAACTCAGCTTCGCAAGATGACAATGAGACGGATGATGAGCGTGTAGATCGCCAGCTGATGACACCACTGCCAAGGGTGAAGCAATAGCCTTGGGAAGAGCGGCGGTCAGCTTGATCATCAGCCCATGAGGAGTCGCTGTATCCCTCGAGGTGAGGAGGGGTCGTGCCACCGAGAGTGAGGACGTAGTCCTTGGTGGCTTGGAGGTAGCGAAGGACGCGCTTAGCAGCCGACCAGTGGCGATTGGTGTATCGACCGGCAGCAACGTAACGCGAGAGCACACTGATGGGGTAGGCGAGGTCGGGCCTTGTGCACATCATCGCATACATGAGTGATCCGACGAGCTCGGGGTATGCCTCATCACAAGGCTCAGGCGATGGAACTGATGGAGTGGTCAGATCATGCTGCAAGGGAAGGGGAGTGGCCACTGGCTTGGCGTTGTCCATGGCAAAACGCTTGAGGACGTTGTTCACATAGAACTCTTGAGAGAGAGTGATGGTTCGAGCTTCGCGATCCCGCGAGATTTCCATCCCAAGGTAGTTCTTGAGTTCACCGAGGTCCTTCATGGCGAGAGCGTCCCCAAGAGCTTGCTTAACAGCTGCCAGCTGATCGGAGTCCTTGGAGACGAGAATCATGTCGTCAACGTAGACAAGGATGAAGAACGGGTTGTCGTTCTTGCGAATGAAGAGACTCGGATCGGCTGAGGAGGGGTGGAAGTCGAGTGACTCGAGGGTTGCCTTCAGCTTCTTGTGCCATTCCCGAGGAGCCTGCTTCAACCCGTAGACTGGTCGATTCAGCTTCCAGACTGTGCCGGGTGGAAAGGGTAAGGGAAATCCTTGAGGACGTTCCATGTAGATGTCCTCGGGGAGATCCCCTTGGAGAAATGCAGCAGAGACGTCCATGGAGTGAACGTCAAAGTTGCATCGAGCAGCGATGTCCAGCAGGGTCCGAAGTGTGGGCAGTTTGGCTGTCGGAGAGAATGTGTCGAAGAAGTCCAGGCCCTTCTTCTGCGTGAAGCCTTTTGCACAGTATCGCGCCTTGAAGACTGGGAGTTCGCCAGGCAGTTGCTTGACGCGAAAAACCCATTTGCCACGGACAATGTTAACTCCTCGCGGAGGGGAGACGTCCGTGAAAGAGTTGTTGCGAATGAATGCTTCACACTCCGCGATCATGGCTGCGAGCCACTGGGGGGAGTGTGGTCCAGAGATGGCTTCATCATATGAGTTCGGGGTCGGGATGGATGGATTTTCCGAGAAGTTAAGAGTTGGAGCGTCGGCAAGGTCGGGGAAGAGATGGCAGAGCTGACGGATGGCAGCATTGATCTCAATCAGCTCCTCATGCCTATCCTCCAAGAGGCCAGGCATGGATGCACCCCCGGCAGGAGGAGGCGGATTGAGGGAGATGCGAACAGAGAGGGCGAGAGGCGGAGCGGGACCATGAGAGCGGGTGCGGTGAGCAATAGGGACAGGAGAGGAGGGAGGTGGCGGGGGAGCAGGTGGGACATCGACATAAGAGCGTCCGTGGCGACGGCGACGATAGGTGATGGGCGAGTCGGGAGGAGAGGTGGAGGTTGGAGGCGGAAGCGGAGGTGAAGGCGGGGAGGGAGGCGCGGGGGCAGGGGGAGCCACAGAAGGAGAGGGAGGTGGAGGGGCAGCTGCAGGAGCGGGTGCAGGGGGAAGTGCAGGCGCGGGCGGAGGTGAACGGGCAACTGAGCCAGTGGGCGAAGAGGGGTGAGAGAGAGTGGAAGGAGATGGGGAAGGTGAGAGTGAGGGGGCCGCAGGAGCGGCAGAGGGAGGAGGTGGGGTGGGTGAAGTATCGAAATCAGCCCACACAAGCGAAGGTGGAGCGGTGGGGGGTGGTGAAGAGAGGTAAAAAGGGCGACTCTCGTCAAAGGCGACATCGCGGCTACGAATGAGCTGATTGGTGGAGAGATTGAGGAAAAGGTAATCGGGAGAGTCCAGGTTGTGGCCGAGGTAGACACAGGGTTGAGCTTTGGGTGCAAATTTGCCGCCGTGGGTGCGACGTTCCTGAGGGTTGAGGAGGACATAAGCTGTACACCCCCATACGCGGAGAGGACGTGCACTGGGCTTGGTGCCGGTCCACAGTTCAGCGGGAGTGATGGCAGGCCGAAGAGGGTGAGGGTGAAGGTTGTACAGCAGCGTGGCATGAAGGAGGGCGTAACCCCAAAGGGAAGGTGGTGCACCAGCGTGAGTGAGAAGACAGCGAGCGATTTGCACGAGAGTGCGATTGCGACTTTCGGCAATGCCATTCTGCTGCGGACTGTGGGGAAGGGTGAAGGTCTGGCGAATGCCTTGGGAGGCACAGAACGCTTGAAGGGAATGGTTTCGAAATTCGCCACCGCCATCGGAATGGAGGCACTTGACTGAAGTGCGGAAATGATTTTGGGCTTGTCGAAGCCATGCGATGACGACATCTGGAACAGCTGCTTTGGAGGAGAGGAGGTGGACGGAGGCATAGCGAGAGTGATCGTCAACGAGCACTAGGAAGTAAGAGTGCCCGCCACGAGAGCGGACTGGAGCTGGGCCCCAGACGTCCATGTGGACGAGGTCAAGCGGGGCGGCTGCAGCAGAGGGCGAGGAAGGGTGAGGCAACTGGCGTAGTTTGCTTTGCGCGCAGTCCAAGCATGGAGGAGCGGGAGAAGTGGAGGGTGGAGGAAGTGTGTCGGGCAGGTGAAGAAGCAACTTCTTAGACGCAAGCTCGGAGAGCATGCGGAAGTTGGGATGCCCAAGACGATGGTGGTAAAGAATGGTTGGATCGGTGAGCTGACGGCAGGAGCACGATGATGTGGTGGAGGTAGAGTGTGCTTCTGTGGAAGATGGAGGTACTTGGAGTGTGTAGAGGTTGTTGGCGGTCAGTGTGAAGCGTGCAAGTAGGGCATTGGTGGTGGGCTGAAGGAGATCACAGTGATTGGAATGAGCTGGGAAGATAGTGGTTACCCCTGCTCGTTGAATCTCATGTTGTGCAAGTAAATTGTGCCGAAGAGTGGGCACGCATATGCCAGTGACTGTGCCAGATGGGAAGGCTGGGCATGGAAGAGTGGAGGAACCATGGGCGACAGTTGTGAAGCTGGAGTCAGCGCCCAGAAGAGGAATGGGTGCTTGGTATGGTTTGAAAGACTCTTTGTCTCGGAGGACTGTGTGGGTTGCGCCACTGTCCAAGACGAATTCAAGCGGTTTAGATGGTGTTTGTGGAGACGTCGAGTACTGGGAACTGGTTTCATTGATCATGGGAAGGCCAGGGAACAACAGGTTGAGACGAACATCAGGACTAGGGGCATGAACGGCTGAGTCCTGACTATCCTGTGCCTCAACCTGGTTGAGCTGGCGCATGCGAAGCCAGTTGGGCGGCTTGGAGTTGATACAATTCTTGGCGAACCAGTCGTCGTCCTTCTTTTTGAAACAGGTGGCGAGCGGGTGATTGGTGCCGCCGCACACCTGACCCGCACGGGGTCCCATTTTGATGACGTAAGGACAGGGTGGGTAGCGGTTACGAGTGGGTGGCGGATTGGGACGCGATGCTGGAGCCGGGACAGGAGCGCGAAGCGCATTTGCACGAGCCTGCGCAGTGTTGTCTTTTTCAGCAGAGAGAAGTGCGGAAGAGACTTTGGCAAAGGTTAGCTCTTCTGGCGGGAGATGGAGAAGCATGGAGCGGGTGACATTGTAAGAGGGGGTCAGCCCAACAAGCAGAGCTGCTGCAGGGGCTTGCTCTGGGAAGACAATGCCGAGTTGCTTCAGCTCCTGATGAATCCCTTGAATTTCAGCGACGTAATCTGCCATTCCAGGGCACTCCTCCAGACGCACTTGAAACATGCGGGGGATGAGGATCGCCACCCCCACAGCGGTTTTGTTGAGGAAGCGGTCGTTGAGGTACTCCCAGATGGCGTGCGCGGAGGGGTAGTTATGGTAAGTTTTGACGAGCTCGGAAGGGGTAGTGCCGACGAAGACGCCAATGATAGCGGCGTCGGCTTGCTCCCACACGCTGTAAGATTCCTCATACTTGGACATGGATTCCTCATGGGTTTTTAACTCTTCCCCTGTGGCTGTGGCCGAGAGCTTCTTGGGAAGGATCGGCATCTTTCCTTTGCCGCGATTGAGGAGGACATCCTTGAGGCAAATCCCCTCAATTTTGCGGCTTAGGAGATGCTTATCAACCCCATAGCTCCACTCCTTGAAGTTCGGGCTCGAGCCATTTGGGTCGAGGCGCAAGGGAGTGATCGGGTTTGAGAGAGACGCGGAAGGATACGCCATGATGCTCCAAGGACCCTTTCTCCGCGCGTAGCGCAGCTCTTAAGTCGCCGATAGGCACTTCCCTTTGCGGATTTTCAACACTCGGAGAAGAGGAATAGCCGATAAAGAGGGAAATCTGAACGCCAAAAATCTATGGAAACCCGCGATGTGCTGCTGCAATCCCGCTGCTCCGCGACCCCCCCTTTTCCGCTTCGCCGCTGCCCCCTTTCCGCTTCGCCGCTGCACCCCCCCGCTGTTGCAAGGGCGACGGGCGACAGCCCGTCCAGCTTCGACGAGCAGATGCGGGGCGACGGGCTCAGCCCGATCAGGTGCGACGAGCAGATGCAGGGCGACGGGCTCAGCCCGATCAGGTGCGACGAGCAGATGCGGGGCGACGGGCTCAGCCCGATCAGGTGCGACGAGCAGATGCGGGGCGACGGGCTCAGCCCGATCAGGTGCGACGAGCAGATGCGGGGCGACGGGCTCAGCCCGATCAGGTGTGACGAGCAGATGCGGGGCGACGGGCTTCAGCCCGAAAAGAAGCGCCGCGCTGAGTTGAGGCGACTAGAAAAGCTTTGCGTCGTAAGACGCAAATGCTAGGCTCCAACGGAGCGAGAGGATCAAGAGCCGCTTAGGCGGAAACGAGCTCTGATACCATATCAGAAACTGAGAACTTGATTAATTGAAATGAGCAAGAGCATACATCCTTAAGTACCGAGCATCGGAGAGGATGGGAAGGGATAAGGGAGAATCGGAGGGAATCCCAAGGGAATCCTCCCAAATCGTGGGGATTTGGGATGGATTGGGTTGGGATAGGTTGGGGATGAAAACATAGCTACACCCAACCTAACAAATATGAGTATCCCTAAAACCAAGAAAGTGTCAACACACAAAATTGTGCCAACCGAATTGCAGCCTATCTCTAACAGAGAGGATATCAACGACAAAAAAAAGCAGAGAGGAATTCAATGACGAGCTCAAGCATAACAAAGGGCGGGACGAGCAAACGATTTGAGGAGAAGGAGAGGGACTAGGTGCTTACCAGGCTCAGAGCCTTGGCGTCTTCCCGTCTGCATTGGGTTCCTGGAAGAAGGGGATGGGAGCGTGGGGGGAGGGGGAGAGGGAGAGGGGAAGAGGAGGGGAAGGGGGAGGGGGGAAAAGGAGGGGGAGGGGTAGAGGGGAAGGGAAGGGGGGAGTAAGGGGAGGAGGGGCGGCAGGGAAGAGCAGAAGCGAAACAGAAAGCAGGAAGCGAGCAAGGGACGACGAGAAGAGGAGGAAAAAAGGATGATGTGCTTACCAGTTTGAGGGGAGGAGAGGTGCTCACCAGTTTGAGGGGAGGAGAGGTGCTCACCAGTTTGAGGGGAGGAGAAACGTGCCACGAGAAACGGGAACTGCTGTTGCTGCTGCTGGCGCTGCTGATGTTGCGGATGGTGCTGCTGCTGCTGCTGCTGATGTTGCGCACGGTGCTGCTGGTTGGGGCCTCTGCATCTGCTGCCCTCCCTCCCTCTGGCCAGGGACAAGGGTCTGGGGCTTGGGGAGAAAACGCACTCGGGGAAGGGGATGCAGGAAGTTAGGCCAGGGCATGCGATGAGAAATGAAAATGAAACATGCGAAACATGCATCAAGAGGCGAAAGTGATAGCGAAAAGCAGCAAGGCAAGCATGATCACAAGAGGCGAAATTGATAACGAAAAGCAAAGTGGTAACACACTGCGAAAAGCACAAGGGCGATGGTAGCCCACAGCACCATGGCATGGAGCTAGCACGCGAGGGGGACTAGGTAAGAGAGGGACGCGAGCATGAGAATGAATGCGTTCTATCCCCCTGCGACTCTGTATGAGCCCAGCCGCCCCAGTGCCATGTGCTACCATCGCCACGCGCCAATGATCCCTCGTTCAAATTTTGCACCCTCCCTTCTGTTTGAAACAGGTTCAAATTTTGCACCCTCCCTCAAATTTCCGCGCGATCAAAGAAACAGGTTACGGACATACAAAGACAGCGGAAAGTAACGTAAATTGGAATAGGGAAGGGTAAGAGGGTTCTTAGCCGTGTGTAGTGCAGAGGCAGCCAGCCAGCGTCCGTCCATGTCAGCAATAACTCCCTCGAGTGTCGCTGCTCCCACCGCTGCTCCCACCGCTGCTCCCTCCGCTGCTCCCTCCGCTGCTCCCACCGCTGGTCCCTCCGCTGTTCCCACAAGCTCTGCACCTCCACGCCTCTCCAGCGCCACAGCCGCCTCCACACCAGCCGCCAGCCAGAGCACCTCCACTCCCCTCAAGCAGCGCTGCCCCCTCGAGCGCCACAGCCGCCAGCAACAGAGACCGGTGCAGTGGTCAGCAGGGGCCGGTGCAGTGGTCAGCAGGGGCAGGTGCAGTGGTCAGCAGGGCTCCAGCAGCAGCAGCAGCAGCAGCAGCAGCAGCACACCCTCCCACCAACAGGGGCCGGTGCAGTGGTCAGCAGGGCTCCAGCAAAACTCCCACCAACAGGAGCTCCCCCGAGCGCTGCAGCCACCACCAACAGCAGAGTTAGCAGTGGTCAGCAGGGCACTCACAGGCGGTCACAGCACTGTGACCCCCTGTGCCGTGCGTCATCCCACACGCTCACGTCTGCTGCTGCTGCTGCTGTAGCCACACTGAAGTGATGCTGCAGCCGAGGTGCCGTTTCTGCAGTACCGAGGTGCAGTGGTCAGCAGGGCATGCAGGAGGGAGGCAGTCCTCCTGCACGCCGAGTTGCTGCAGCAGAGGCGCCGTTGCAGAGGCGCCGTCGCTGCAGCTGGGGAGGTGCTGCCGCTGAAATGGGTTCCACGCGCGTCATCCCACACGCTCACGTCTGCTGCAGCCACGCTCAAGTGCTGCTGCTGCTGCCGAGCTGAAGTGCCGAGGTGCCGTTGCTGCAGTACCGAGGGGTGCGATTCCTGCAGGTGCTGAAGTGCCGTTGCTGCAGCACAGGCGTCGTTGCTGCAGCTGGAGTGGTGCTGCCGCTGAAACAAATTCCTGCACGAACTCAAAAGCAAATGTAAGTGTCCAAAAGAGGCATTACTCACAAAAGACTACAAGCCGCACGAAAAACTAAGTTTGCAGGAAAACCAGAAAAGCGGCCCACGGCACCACAGCAGTGGAGAAGCTTTCGAGGCTTCAAGGGAGGAGTGTGAGGCACTAGCGAACCCACGGCACTTGACAGCCATGCGAGGGGGACTGAGAGGAGAAAGAGGAGGCTGAAGAGGAGAGAGAGGGACATGAGGATGAACGAACGAACGAACGAATGAATGGAACGCGCGCATGAGGATGAACGAACGAACGAACGAATGAATGGAACGCGCGCATGAGGCTGCAAAATTAAACCACCCCGCAAAACTGACCATGAATGGAACGCGAGCGACTGCCAAGCGCCTTGAGCCGCCACGCCCTCACTTACCAAATTACTCCAACCTCCCATCCACCTCTCAGCCACACACGCAGCAGTGCCTAGGGCCACCAATAACAGCAATAACAAAATCAAAACGCGAAACGGAGAAGGGTAAGAGCACTTAGCTGCGGATGGTTGGGTGGGCAAGTAGTTGGAGCGGCTGCAGCAGTGGCGACACCACTCCCGCCAGCAGTGACAGCACGATCACCCCCGCCAATGCCAACACCACCGCAGCCGCAGCAGCAGTGGTCAGCAGGGCACTCACGAGGCAGTCACATCACTATGGCCGCCTCTGCCGTGCGTCATCCTGTGGTCTGCTGAGTTCTGCTGAGTTCTGCTCTACAGCTGAAGTGCCGTGCCGTCTCTGCAAGTGCCGTCTCTGCAAGTGCCGTCTCTGCAGCTGAAGTGCCGCTTCTGCAGCTGCTGAAGTGCCGCTGCCGCTGTTTTTTTTTTCTGCAGAGAATAAGAGACGCACCGATTCAAAGCAACTGTGAGTGTCCAATACAGGAGTTACCCACAGCAGTTGATAAGGCACAAGCAAAAACAGGAAAACAGCAAATGAAGAAAAAAAAAAGACGGAGGCTAAGACCCACGGCACTACTGCACTGGGAATGGCTTCAGGGATTCAAGGAGGAAGGAGTGTGAAGCACTAGCGAACCCACAGCACTTGGCAGCCATGCGAGGGGGACTGAGAGGAGAAAGATGAGGTAAGACAGGAGAGAGAGGGACGCGCGCATGAGAATGAATGCTTTCTAAGTCACCCGACTAGACCATGCGAGCGACCGACTGCCAAGTGCCACGAGCCGCCACGTCCTCAGTTTCACCAATTTACTCCAACCTCCCATCCACCTCTCAGCCCCCCACGCAGCAGTGCCTAGGGCCATCACTTCTGATCCGGCGGCACTAGAAAACCAAAACGAGAAAATCAGAAAGGTAAGAGCACTTAGCTGTTTGTTTGAGTAGGTTGTCCGAGCGGATGCAGCAGCAGTGCCACCACCACTGCCAGCAGCAGCAGCAGCACAAGGCTCCCGCAGCGGCAGCACCACCATCAGCAGCAGGATGGCCAGCATCGTCAGCGACAGGTTCGGCAGCATCGTCAGCATCAGGTTCGGCAGCAGGGTCGGCAGCAGGTTCGGCAGCACCGTCGGTAGCAAGTTTGGCAGCACCGTCAGCAGCAGGGTCAGCAGCAGAATCGGCAGTACCATCAGCGCAGGTTTGGCAGCATCGCAGCAGGTTCAGCAGCACCGTCAGCAGCAGGGACGGCAGCGCTGTCAGCAGCAGGTTCGGCAGCAGGTTCGGCAGCACCGCCAGCAATAGGATCGGCAACAGGGTCAGCAGCACCGCAAGCAGCAGGGTCGGCAGCAGTGTCGGGAGAAGAATCGGCAGCACCATCCGCAGCACCGTCAGTAGCGGGTGCAGTGGTCACCAGGGCACTCAGGAGGCAGTCACAGCACTGTGACCACCTCTGCCGTGCGTCATCCCACATCCAGCTCAAGTGGTGCTGCCGAGGTGCTGCTGCAGTTGCTGGAGTGCCCCTGCTGCTGCTGGAACCGTTCCCTGCAGAGAAATTGGGGAGGCACAGGTTCAAAAACAATGTTAGTGTCAAGTAGAGGCGTCACCCACAACAACTGACAAGCAACAATTAAAGCACGAATGAGGGAAACGAATGTGCTTCTAAGACCCACGGCACTACTGCAATGAGAGAGGCTTCAAGGATTCAAGGAGTTTGGAGTGCGAGGGACGGGCGAACCCAAGGCACTTGGCAGCCATGCGAGGGGGACTGAGAGGAGAAAGAGGAGGCTCAAGAGGAGAGAGAGGGACGCGCTTGAGGATGAATGATATTAAAGTTAACCCGACTAGACCATGCGAGCGACTGCCACGCGCCTTGAGCCGCCACGCCATCACTTACCAATTTACTCCAATCTCCCATCCACCTCTCAGCCAACCACACAGCAGTGCCTAGGGCCATCAATAACAGCAATAACAGAGAACAGCAATGCAACGGAGGAGGGTAAGAGAACTTAGCAGCGGATCGTCGGGTTGTCGGAGCGGATGCAGCCAGCAGTGGTAGCAGGATCGCCAACAGCAGCAGCAGCAAGGTCGCCAAATCGCTGAAAGTCGCCGAGATCGCCAGCAGCGTCGCCAAAATCGCTAGCAGCGTCGCTGAAGCGTGGGTTCCGCCGACTCCGCTTTCGCCGTGTTTTAAGCTTCATTCGACGTCGCTGAACGACCAATTTCGCCGTCTCTGAAGCTTCTACGGCGTCCTCTCAGAAGCTCCGCTTTCGCCGTCGCTGAAGCAAGGATCCTCGCCGAATCTGGAGCTCCGCTTCGCCAGACGCGACAAGGAATTGACGGTGTCGAAAGCTACGGAAGTTTGAAAGCACCGGTGTCGAAAGCACCGGTTTCGCAGTCGCTGAATCTTGGGTTTCGCCGGCTCTGAGGCTTCATTATCGACGTCGCTTAAGCACCAATTTCGCCGTTTCAATATCTCCGTCTCAGAAGCTCCGCTTTCGCCGTCGCTTTCGCCGAATCTGGAGCTCCGCTGCGCCAGACGCGACAATGGATTGACGGTGTCGGAAGCTACGGATCCGAGCTATCAATCTGGGATGTAATAGCCTCCGCGGTATAAAACAGAGAGATAGCGTCCGAGCTATAGAAATAGAAGACTCTGGATTCGCGGTGTCGGAAGCTATCAAATAGGGATATAGCGTCCGAGGAATAAAACGGAGAGATAGCATCCGAGCTAAGGTAATAAATGACAGCTTCGGAGCTATAAGTACTTGGAAATATCCTCTGGTAGGAGCTATAAGAACTCGGAAATATCTTCCGGTAGCTCTGGAACTATAAGAACTTGGAAATATCTTCCGGGAACTCCAGATTCTGGAGCTTTAAGAACTTAAAAATATCCTCTGGTAGCTCTGGAGTTATACGAACTAGGAAATAACCGAATGAAGATAGATTCCAAACTATAGGAAACTAGGAGATATATTCCGAGCTTGAAGAATCAGGCGATGACTTCAAGGAGACGACTATTACATAGCTTCAGGAAATATTCTAAAATGGAGTTACGGCGGCCATTACTACCGTAGCTAGGAAACTCCGAATTTGCTGTGCCTGCAAAAGCTTGCAACTCTACAAACTGTAGGTTGAAGTTACAGCGGCCATAGATCAAACAAACAAGCTACGAGGAAGTTCAGTTCGCCATGGCTAGTCGTCGGCGACGGCGAAAAGAAGCAATGGAACTGGTGCGGAGGAAGAAATGACTCAAGGATCCCAGGGAAGAAAATTCAGAAAGACGTAGTTGACAGGGAGAAGCGCGAGAGTGGATTCAGGGAAGAGGAGAAAGCATGGAGTGAAGGCAAGGGACTGGGGGAAGGAGTGGAGCGGTAAGTCTTGCCACCACTCACTGAACAATGGGGAGTGGAGTTATGCCAATTGCAAGCACAAGGCGGAAACCTATGGAAGACCTCCTGCCGACGGAATCTGCGCTGCGCAAGGTTTCCGAGCAAATTTTCGAGCGCTGCGCTGCACAAGGTGTCAGTGGCGGAAGCGGAACTGTTAACGAGGAGGTCACTTTTTGGCCTGCCGACATTCTGTAGCTCTTTGCGAATTCTCGGAGTAGAGTTTGCGAACACTTTTGCAGCCACGAAGCCGTGCGGCGGCTGGCGGGAGTGTCCCGCAGCGCTGAAACTGCGCCCACCTCGCGGTGCTGCGCGGGGCCGTTCCGAGAGAGCGCGCCTGACAGACAACCAAGTGATGGGGGGGGGGGGGGGGGGGGGGATTTTATTCTGCTCATGCATGGTAACCATTCTGCTTGATCTGACGGCCGATCGCATCTTTGTTGAACCTTTTCGGATCCAAATGGCCGTTGGATGGACTGGTGACAACGATGATTCTATGCATCGTGTGGTCGAGAGTGAAAGCCAATCACAATTGCTGAGGGGATGGTGGTGAAGGGCGGTGTGGTGTATGACAACAACCAATCGCAATCGTTCCGCGGCTGGATTGTATGGTGGGACCCGAGTCACCGTTGACCTGAATGTCATAATGTCAGAGCATAAGTTCAAATTCTTACTGACTTTCAAACATACGGGACGAGGCGCTCTACTCGACACTGCATGTTTCACTATCTAGAAATCGTGTCCTCCTCAAACATTACATTGCTATAGCTTGCAACTGTAGCACACTAATAAAGGACATGGGCAAGCCAACGTAATGCCCTTGACAAATGAGGCAGGCAAGGCCTCACCAGATTCAAGCCCAGGTCAGAAGATGGATGATGTGGAAGACGTTACCTGTAGTGTGTGAAATAAGGATAGTAAAGATCAAGGTTGAAGCCCAGTGAACGTTTTGTTGAAGTCGTTCCATTTTGGCTATATTGGAATAAATAAAGCGACAAACTACGGCGCGTGCAGCAGTATCATAGCGATTTTTTTTCTTATTTAGCAGCTTTTAGAACATACGTGCTCGAATCCTAGAATGATGGAAACAAGAGAGTACGGGGAAGATATAGGGTTGGAGATGTACGCACTACGAACATAAGCCTATCTAGCCTACAAACATATGTATAAGTTGACACACCCCCTAGGCTAGATAAGGGGAAGTACAGAGCTAGGAACACGCAGCTCAGGGTGGCACTACTAGTCCAACCTCACACGCACGGGTCCGAAGACTAGTAGCAAGAGTACAAACAGAACAAGAACACACCAGGGCGGCACTACTAGTCCAGCCATTGGAAGAGAAGCCACAAGGCAAGTCAGGAAGGTATATATATAAAGACGAGAACACAATCAAGGTCCTAGCAAGAGAGAGTCTGTAGGAACTAGACCAAGCTGCAAACAGTGCTGCTGATGATCTTTAAGCGCAAATATATCAGCTGTGTTGGCACCCGAGGCAAAGTGTACTACGCGAGCCTGGCGGCGCTGTTGTAGCTCGCGCAGGAGGAAGTACCGCAGCTGGATGTGCTTCGCTCTGCCCTCAAGTCAAAGATCATGGCCATGTTGTCAACGTACAGGACCGGGGCAAAGCTAGGCCGCTCACCCAAGTCGGTGAGCAAGAACGTCAGCCAGCGGAGCTCCAGTGCCGCCATGGCATCGGCGTAGATCTCAGCCTCACAACTAGACTGGGCAACAAACGAGGAGCGATTGGACCTCCACGAGATGGCACCTGAATCAAGGCTAAAGCAGTAGCCCTGGAAGGACCTGAGGGCCTCATCGTCGTCTACCCGAGAAGCGTCTGTGTGGCCAGTAAGGACAACTGGCCTGCGTCCTCCCAGCACTAACCCCATGTCCGATGTACTTGCTAGATAACGCAAAACCCTCTTAGCGGCCGACCAGTGCTGTGGTCGGTGTCTGCCCGTGGCCACAAAGCGAGCCAGGATGCTGAGAGGGTATGCGAGATCGGGACGAGTGCAAGTCATCAGGTACATGAGGCAACCCACCAGCTCTGCGTAAGGACCACTGGGCTCTACTGACTCCTCAGAAACTGGAGCAGAGAGCCTGTGGTCTACTGGCAGAGGTGTGGGCTGTGCGGAGGAGAACTGAAGACCGAACCTCTGAAGGACCTGACGCACCAAGTGTGACTGTGTGAGAGTGACGATGCGGGCTGCTCTGTCCCTGGAGATCTGCAAGCCAAGGTAGCGGCGCAGCTCTCCTAGGTCAGTGCAAGTGTGTCTCCTCAGCAGCTCGGCCTTCACGGAGGCTAGTGCCTCTCTGTCTGCAGTAGCGAAGACCAGATCGTTTACGTAGACAAGGATGCAGAACAAAGTTTAACCAGCACGAACGAAGAGCGAGGGGTCTGCAGAGAACGGAAAGAACTGCAAGTCAGCTAGTGTAGCACGTAGCGTGTCGTGCCACTCACGGGGCGCCTGTCGCTGGCTGTAGAACGGGCGCCGAAGGAGCCACTGGGTCCCAGGAGGGAAGGTACCAGTAAGGCCAGAGCGGTGGTATGGTCAAGGCGGCGGATAGAGGCAAAGTCAGCGATAGCATCGACAAGAGCGTCAAGACTGGAGACAGGAACAGACGGGTCGGTAAGGAGGGAGGCAAGAACCCGAGGAATAAGAGGACGAGCGGCACGAAGGTAGTCAGACAAAGGGGGAGGCGCGTCGGCGAGCGACGACGGAGGAGGCGAAGGCAGAAGAGAATGAAGCAACATAGGGTGAGAACGTTGAATAGAAGCGACAGGATGAGCACGAGAGGGACGACGAGACCAGACATGAGACGGAGGCGTTTGGTCAGGAGACAGAGGAGGAGACTCAAGAGGGGAACGAGGGGGAAGACGAGCCGGAGACGAGTCCGGCGGAGGGAACACAGGGTCGTAGATAGGAAGGGGAGGAGGGGGCAGGGGAGGCGCAGGCAAGCGGTCAGGGGAGGGAAGGTCGAGCAGGCGAAAGGCGGACATCGGCGGCGTCTGCTGCTGCTGCTGCTGCTCGATGCCGACACCTGGACCACCAGCTGCACCACGGCCACCTCTGGAACACTCCATTCCAGCACCCCCAGAACGAGTACCCTTAGAGCGGGAACTCTCTCAACCACCGGTGCCACCCCCAGGCCCTCCGGGACAAGCAACGACATGAACCCTAGGTCTAGCACCCTCCTCAATGCCAGCACCCTTAGAGTCTACGAACAGCTGCTGCAGCAGCGGCAACGACGGCTGTTGTCGTGGCGGCAGCTGGGACTACTACCGCGGCAATGACGGCTGCGGTGGCGACTGCGACGGCGGAGGAGGAGACACCAGGGGAGAGGCAGGCGGCGAGAACGGCGCCGCGGGTCCACCAGAGTCGGTCGACTCCTCGACCGGGACAACCGACGGGAGGGGAGTGACGTGGGACACACCAGAGGGAGCAGGAAGGGGAGGGAGGGAAGCAGGGGCTACCGGGGGAGTGGGAACCAGAAACAGGGGAGGGGAAGCCAGGGGACCTTGGTGGGGGAAGCCGTGGTAAAAGGAGATAGACTCGTTCAAAGTAGCGTCACGAGAGTGAAAGAAGCGGTGAGACGGCGGGTGGTAAAAGTGCCAGTCAGACGAGTCAAGGGGGAAACCTAGGAAGACACAAGGACAGTGAGGGTAGTGGCACGGACGTGAGCAAGGCAGCCTTAGACGTGGAACGCAGATGCGTCACCAGGGAACCCGCTCCAAAGAAGGGTCGGTGAAACCTGCGGCCGCTGGGAGCGCGGCCAGAGGTTAAGCTGGTGAGCAGCGTAGCGAACGGCGAACGGCCACAGAAAATGGGGTGTACCGGCATGAATCATAAGGGTACGAGCCACCTCCATGATCAAACCGATGCGTTGCTCAGCGACCACATTCTGCTGTGGGGAGTCCGGTAGGATGTACGATTGGGTGATGCCCTCCGCACGACAGAACTGTCCAAGCCGACCAGAGGCGAACTTGCCGCCACGGTCGAAGTGGAGACACAACACGGGGAGACCGTGGTGGAGGCGCGCAGCTATAACCCACAGGATAAGAACGCTAGGCACGTCGGCCTACCGCTCCAGGAGAAACACCATGGTGTAGCACGTGAAGTCGTCGACGAGCACGAGAAAGTAGCGCTTGTGACGCGGTCCAGGGACGGGGGCTAGGCCCCAGATGTCCAAGTGCAGGGCCTGGAGGGGTGCAGCGGCAGGGTGAAGCGAGGGGGAGTGAGAAGCACGGCGCAATCGGCCCTCGACGCAAGGCGTGCACGGCGGCACAGGCGAGGGAGGGAGGGCAGGAAACGACGCAGGGAGACCTAGGATGAGACCGTGCTGAGACATGTGACGCAGACGCGGGAGTGCGGGGTGACCTAGGCAGTGGTGCCACAGAAGCGATGGGTGAGTGAGCGACCGACACGAGCAAGCCGCAGCAACCTGGGTAGCTGAAGGACCTAGGGAGGACGCGCCCACAGTGGGGGAAGAAGTGTCCAGCGTATAGAGGCCAGACACCGGGTCCCAGGGGAACGTCGCAAGGGGGGCACCTGAGGCGATCTCGGTACAGGCAGCGTACCGCTCGTTACCAGGGAATGTAGTGGTGACGCCGAGGTAGCCGACACAAACTAAGTTCCTGGAGAACGAAGGGATGTGAAGACCTGAAAAGAAACCCAAGGAGACTGCAGGACAGGGAAGGGTAGTGTAGCTGCGAGCAATGACAGGACCAGAGGAGGGGTCAGCAAGTGCGACAGCGGCAGGCGCGGCAAGTGGCGTGAAGGTGGCTGGTCGTGGAAGAAGCAGGCTGACGCACCGGAGTCAAGGGTGAAGGACAGGGAAGCAGTAGCGGCAGATGAAGGAGGAGCGAGTGTAGAGCCTAGGCTAGACAAAGCAAATGGTCCTACGCCTCATGCAGCAGGGGAGTCTGGACTACACACAGGTGCTACGCCTAAGCTAGAGAACACAGGGTAATAAGATCCAGACACACTAGAAGCGTCAGCATACAGAGAATGCAGGGCAGAACTAATCTAATCCATGTCTAGGTCAAAAACAGGCACACCGTGGCGCAGCACACTGGGCCAATCAGGGAGGTCCGGGGCCGGGCCGAAGCGGCGATGGAAGAGGTCGTCGAGGCGGCGGAAGAGCTCGTCGAGGCGGCGGAAGCAGCGCGCGGTCGGGTGCGGGCGGTGGCACACCGTGCCACAGAGGGGCCCGATCTGGAGCTAGTACTGGCAGCTCACTACACCGAAGCCACCGGTAGATGCCGAGCTGCGAGGGCCACCCCCGCGGCCACGACCTCCTGGGGCTCCTAGCCACCCCGGGGGGAGGCGGGCCCACGGCTGCTGCTGCTGCTGTGGCTGCGACTGCTGCTGCTGCGTCTGCTGCGACTGCTGTTGCTCCTGGACACCAGCTCCAACCCCCTCGGCAGAACCAGTGTCCCCGCCACCACCACCACCACCACCACCGCGGCGGCCCCGACACTGTCGCTGCTGCGGGAAAGCCGCAGCTGGTGTCTCAGTGGCAGGGGCAGCCGTGGCAACAGCGGCGGAGACATCTGCGTACGTGCACTGGGAGGGAGCACAGCCCTGTAAGATAGGGACTGCCGCAACACCGCTCGGCTGAGCGATAGTGCGCTAGCGAGTCTCTATCTTAGACAGAGCAGTGACAGAGGCGGTCAGGGTGAGGTCGCCAAGGTGCTGACCAAGGAAGTGGTCGCGGGCAGTGGCTAATCTGTCAGGCACGCGCATGGCAATAAATTACATGGTAGCTCAGAACGGTGGGGGGAAGGCCGTGAGCTGGGCAGTAGTGCTAGCAGCGCGAGGGGCGGAAGCGGGTGGGCGGACTTAACCTACTTATGATACCATGTTCGAATACTAGAATGATGGAAACAAGAGAGTACAAGGAAGATATAGGGTTAGAGATGTACTCTCTAAGAATACAAGCCTATCTAGCATAAAACTTCTAGATATAAACATATGTATAAGTTGACACTACACACTATTCAGAAAAATGGGAGCGGAAGCAAAAAGAGCAATTGGCACATGCTGTGTGCACTATGTCGTGGTTCGGCATATTGTTCAGGGCTTAGGGTATAGGGTTCAGACGTTGCCTATTGCATCCACATACACTATCACATTTTAGGGGAACCAAGCAAGGTGAATGAACCAATATTGGTTCTTCTCTCTGCCCTTAGGAAAAAAAAGCCTTGCGCAAGTAGCTCAAGCAAGTAGCTCAAGGAACCCCAATTCCTCAAAAAAGCCTCTGGAAATCACTTGGGTTACTTCACTTCTCTACCTTTTTAATCAGGGGAAGTACCTCGTCAAACACCTCGTCCTCTGTCCTGTCCTTCCCCTTGGGAATATTCAGGCTCTTCAGCCCCAGCACCTTAGCGTCCAGCTCATGCAACGTTAATCCCTCCACCCTCTCCACCTCTATCCGCCTCAGGAAACCAGAGGAACGAGGGGAGGGTGCTGCTGGAGGAGCTTGGGCACGAGCAGGGGAGGAGGAACGAGCAGCAGAAGTAGGAGCAGGGACAGGTATCGTGGTGTTGCCAGCAGCAGAGTCAGCAGGAAGCCCAGCAACAGCAGCAGGGGCAGCAGCAGCAGGGGCAGCAGCAGCAGGGGCAGCAGCAGCAGGGTCAGCAGCAGCAGGGTCAGCAGCAGCAGGGTCAGCAGCAGCAGGGGCAGCAGCAGCAGGGTCAGCAGCAGCAGGGGCAGCAGGAAAGCCAGCAGCAACAGGGAAGCCCGGGGGAAGAGCAGGGAAGGCAGGGGCGGCGCCAGCAGCAACAAGGCGGGGATCCAGAGGGGCCGAGGCAGAGACACCAAACTTGCGAAGCTCCAGAGAGTGATTCCCTTGGGTGGAGCTGGCACCCATGCGGCTGTTGCTGCTGCTAGCGCGCAGCAATGCAGACATGCCACCCTCTTGCCGTGATGCTGCTGCTGCTTCTGTTGCTGATTGGAGTGATGGAGGCACGAGTCCAATGGCAGCAGCAGCTGCTGCAGCTGCAATGGCTGCATTCGCCTGAGCCCGGGAGCTCATTTCTGGGGCTTCAGCATGCGCACTAACCCCAGTACCACCACCACCAGCCCCTACCGAACCTGCGTCCGACAACACTCCACTTGCCGAACCTGTTGCCTTACCTCCATGCGAGGCTCGGCGGCCGTCCAGGTGCTGCTGCAGCTGCTGCCGGAGCTGCTGCTGCATGTCGTTCAAAGTCCAGTCGAAACCCCAAGCCCCTGCGCCTGCCCCTGCGCCTGCCCCTGCCCCTGCTCCTGCTGCTGCCCCTGCCACTGCCTCTACCCCCCTTCCCCCCCTCTCACCTCCCGGTCCTCCACCCTGTCCTCCCAGGTCCTGTCGCTTGTTCATTCCGGGGGACAAGGGTTTGAGATTCCCACTAAAGCCCCTCCAGCCAACGCCACCCGTGCTTGCACGCACAGCAACACCGCCACTGCCAGCAGCAGCAGCACCACCACCACCACTAGCGCTCATGAATGCATCAGCAGCAGCAGCAGCAGCAGAAGAGGCGGAAGGAGCGGGGCGGAGGTCGTCTTTCCCTCCAGATTTCCGCCCCAGCCCCAGGGCTGATAGCACTGCCGCTTTGATCCTCGACGCCGGCATGCGACGTGCAGTAGCATCTCCCAACCCGTCTTCTCCCCCCTTTCCTCCTCCCGCCATTCGATCTTGGGTCTCCCAGGTGCCTTGGCCAACTCCCCCCCCGCTGCCAGCAGCAGCAGCGCGGCCAATCTCTGCGAAGACATCTGCTGGAGAGAATTCGTCCCCCTCCCCGAATTGATCAAACCCATCGTCAGAGTACTCCCAATCACCAGCACCGGCAGCACCAGCAGTACCCCCAGCAGCAGCAGCAGCACCACCACCACCAACATCAATGATGTTCGCACTGTCAGCAGCAGATGCTTGGTTGATCGCAGTGCCAGCAGCAGCAGCAGCAGCAGCAGAACTAGCACGGGGATGGGCAGATGTGGTTCGGACCATGTCCATCGCAGCATCTCCAACGTCCATCTCCTCATGCGATGCTCCCGAAACCAACGGCCCAGATCGCACCTGCCTCCTGCTGGGCGTATTGCTTCTTCTCCCCCCTCCCCCTGCTCCCCCCACTCCCCCTCCGCGCCCACCTCCTCCCATCCCCATCCCCAACCCCATCCCCACACCCATGCCTCCGCCTGTTGCCCCTCCTCCTCCCCCTCCTGCTTTCCCCATTCGCCCGGCTAGCCCATACACCAGCTGGCCCGACTTCGCCTTGGGCTTTGCTTTCATCTGGGTCCAAGTAGAAGAGGGAAGGGCGCGGTAGTCAGAGGACGAAGCAGCAGGGGCTGCAGATGCAGCAGCAGCAGCAGCAGCAGCGGGAAGGGTGAGAGCGGTGGGGGCAGCAGCAGCGAGGGAGAGAGATGCTGCAGCGGCAGCTGCTGCTGCTGCCACTGCTGGTGATGCAGGTGCGGGTCTCCCTGCTGCTGCTCCTGCCCCTCCTGTGCCTCCTGTTCCTGCTGCACCCGTGGGATCGACCAGCTGGCCAGACATGTGGCTCTGGGAGGAGGCAGAGGGAGAGTGCGCCTTGCTGTGGTGGTGGTGATGGTGGTGATGCTTCCTGGGCTGGACTTGAGGTGGGGAGGGCAGGCACCGCATGGCAGGCGCATGGCTTGGTGACGCCCCACCTGAAAAATCACCTGAGAAATTCCCTTCATCCTCAGCACCACCACTACCGGTGCCAAAAGAAACAGCAGAAGCAGCAGCGGCTGCAGCGGCTGCAGCAGCGGCAGTGGGGGTTCGACCCCCTCGCCCCCCACCCACGCCACCAGACCCCCTGGTCTGTGCTATCTCTAGCAGTGTCGAAGATGCGTATGCTGGGCGTTGCTGCTCTGCTGCCTCCGCTTCTGACTGCTGGCCCTGTGGTTTCGGCCTTAGCTGCAGCTGTGACTGTTGGGAGAGTGACTGTTTGGGATCGGTGCTGGGTGGTAATCCCTCTACTGCAGTGGACACCTGAGCTTGGGTTGACAAGGCACCCGGTAAGGAGAGTGGAGGAGAAAATGGGTCGAGAGGGTTTTGCTGGGGAGAGAGAGGGGGAGGAGAAGAGGGGGGAGGGGATGGGGGCTGGATGATTTCTCGAACATTTCTCGCTGCAAAGGGGCCCGAGGGATGATTGCAGAGCGGAAAGAGGGAAGAGGAGGAGGGGAGTGAAGACAGAGGAGCTTTTCCATCAGCAGCTGGGGTGGGAGAGGGATCAGGAACCCTAGAGGGAGAGGGAGAAGGTGAGAGCAGAGGAGGAGGAGGAGGAGGAGGAGGGAGAGGGAGAGGAGGGTGGGAGTGGTATGCATCGTAAGCAGCTCGGATGAGTGAGTAGGGAAGGTAGCGTTCCAACACAGAGCGTGGCAAATGCGGGGAGAAGAGGCACAGGTGGTCCAAGAAGATCACTCTTGAAGCCCACGCGCCCCGCGGGCCCTTATCCCAGGAGTTCAAGATGAAACTCGCAGCGTACTGCACAAACGTCCGCATCATGCTGCACACGCCGCCGGCCAGCCGGACCAGGTCGGTCGGCTCGTCATCGTCAGCGTAATCTTCCGAGTTGCGATTTGATCCTCTCAGGATCCTCTGTTGTGCTAGAAGTTCTCTCTTTAACTCCCTCCGCTCCGCTCCTGCCCGCTCACACCCAGCCAAAAGCACGTGTATGGAGCGAATCAAGCAGTTTGCATTGTCCGAAAACCCCTGCGTTTCGGGGAGATAGGCACAGGAGAGCCATGACTCCCCTCCTAGCATCACTGCGAAAAGAAACGGTAGCATGGCCCATGCTGCATCCCCCACCCCTCCTATTTCCATCAGTAGCTCAAGCACCTCTGCAAATGACCCGTCTGCTCCCCCTCCCCCTCCCACCTCCTCCTCCCCTCCCCCTCCCCCGCCCCCGCCATCCCCCCGCTCCCCCCATCCCACTTGCAACCACCCCCCCTCCTGCCGCCACTGCTGCTTCTCCAGCCACCCCTCCCGCCACCCCACACCTAGCAGCAACCCTCCTCAGCTGTCCTGCAGCCACGCTTTCAGGGCAGGACGGGGGGAGGTGGGATGCGGTGGAGGTGAGAACTGAGAGGACGAGGGGGATGTGGTGGTGGAGGGTGGCGGAGCAGGAGGAGGAGAGGACGTGGAGGAAGGAGAGGCAGTGCCCGATTTGGATACAGATGGAGAGGGCTTCCTCTGCTGGGGCTGCTATGGCTGCTGCTGCTGCTGCCCGCTGCTGCTCCTCTGTTGAGCGCGTGCCGCTGCCAGTTGTGCCTGCACCGGATGTGACTTTACCAGCTGAACCTGTACCCGCCTGAGCTTCTGCCGTTGGTGCTGCTGCTGCTGTTGTTGCCCCTCCTGCTGAAGGCTCAGCGGAATTCGCAGCAGCAGCGGCAGTAGCAGCAGCAGCGGCGGCGGCGGCAGCAGCAGCAGAGGGGATCTGCAAGGGAGGGGAGAGGTGCATCTTGGAAGCAAGCATCATGAGAGTGTCTCGGTTCGCTCTGAGGATCGCCTCGAGCCGGCTGAGCAGGCGCAGGATCACCGGCCGCACCACCCGCCCTGCCAGCTCATCGGCCCCGTAGAATCCAAACAGCCGCACAAATGCCGCCAGCTCAGCACCGTCTGCCACCAGCTCGGCTATCACTGGTCGAGTCCCTATCCCCACCTCCCCTCCTGCTCCCCCTGCTCCCCCTGCGCCTCCTGCTGCTCCTGCCACTGATCCTATTCCTCCTGCTGCTGATGATGCAGCAGCAGCCAGTGCACCAGGAGCGGTCACATTTGGGGAGCTAAGGATAGGAGAGATGGGGGAAGAGGAGAGAATCGAGGACACAGTAGCAGCAGTGTATGGAGAGACAGCAGAGGAGGAAGCAAAGGTCGAGACAGAGGCGGAAGCCGAAGTGGTGGGGGAGGAGGAGGAAGATGGGGTGGAGAGAAGGGGAGGAGTGGAGAGGGTAGGGTTGGGGCTGGTGGAAGGGGATGGGAAGGGGAGGATGGGGCTGAAAGCACCTGCTGCGGCTGCTGCACCTGGGAATAGGGCTGGAGATGAGGCCACGGGAGGGGTGAGGTTGCCGGGAGGGATGGAATGGGAAGGGGGGTTAAGATAGGCAGGAGAAGCAGTAGACGCAGCAGCGGAAGCACCCCGAGTGGCTATGGCTGGACTGCTGGTGCTAGTGACTGCTGTGCCTGCCCTTGCTCCTCCTCCTGTTCCTCCCCCTGCTGCTGCTGCTGCTTCTCCTGCTGCTGCTGTGCTCCCCCCCCATGCTGTGCTTCTAAACGTCGCATCAAACGGGGAGAACAGCACCCCGGCATCGTTACGGTCACACACGATATTGTCAATGTACCACCGGGCTATCATCACAGCAGCACTCGGCCCGTCAAAGCTGTCATCGCCACCACTTATCCCATCCTCACTCCATCCCAACCCACCCTCCCCTCCTCCCTCCTCCACTTGCCTAGATGCTTCCCCGTGCCCCCCTGTCCCCCCTGCCCCTCCTGCCCCTACATTCCCACCATCCCTCATTTCTCCGAATCCCTCCCCCATGCTGCTATCCTCCATACCCGTTCCCGTGCCCATTCCCATGCCTGCGCCCTTGCCTTGCTTCGACCCCACTGACCATCTCCCCTTCCAACCACCGCTCTTCCTCAGCCTCGCGTCCAAAATGCTGGACACTGCCTTGCCTTGCAACCCTTCTCTCTCCACCCCTCCTCTTTCCATTCCCCCCTTCTCCACTTCTACCCTCTCTACCCCGCTTCCCAGGCCTCCCATTGCCCCTTCCCCTACCCCTCCTCCCACCTCTCTGTGTTTCGCACCACCACCCCTCCCTTCCCCTCCCCCACCTCCCTTGCCCCTCCTCCTCCCCCCCACCTTCTCCCTCTCCCAATCCGGCCGATACAACGGATGCAAGTCCCTGCACCCCCCCTCTACCTGCTCTCCGTGCACCACCTCCCCATCCTGCTCCCCCCCTTCCCCTCCCCTCCCGCTTTCGCGCTCCCATCCCCCTTCCTCTCTCCCCATCTCCACCGCACTCCATCCCTCCCTCCTGGGAAACGCCTCCCCCAGAAGCACCTCGCGGATGGTCCTAGAGAGGTCGAGGGAGCAGTGCTGCTGCAGGAGCAGCAGTAGGAGGAGGAAGCGCGTGAGGGCGGACTCAAAGGCCGAGGGGCGCTGCAGGTGGCCGTTGGGGAGGATGGCGGAGCGGAGCCTCACGCGCAAGTGGCGGGTCAACCGCTCCCTCAAGTACTGGTGTGGGGGAGGGGCAGGGGGGAAGGGAAGGGAGCTGGGTTTAGGACTCGAAGGCGGAGGGGCGCTGCAGGTGGCCATTGGGGAGGATGGCGGAGCGGATCCTCAGGCACGAGTGGCGGGTCAACCACTCCCTTAGGTACTGGTGTGGGGGGCAGGGTGCAGGGGATAGGGAGCAAGAGTATAGGGGGGTGAGTGTGCAAGGGTCAGAGAGTATCCAGGATTGAAAGGAAGAGGAGGCCTAGAAGGGTCAAGATGGATGGTGTGAGGGAGGGGATAGGGAAAATTGGAAAGAAGGACAGAGGGAAAGATGGATTAGCATACTCTACCACCCCCCCTGCAGAGATGCTAACCACTCGGCGTAAAGTTGAAGAACAGTGCTACAAAAGAGAGGGTACCTCTCAGGGAAAGAAAGTGAGATGTCTTCTGAGTGGACCAAAGAGCTGAAGGACGTCGTGGAACCTCTCTGCACAACGTGTTCCACAACGTTCCACACGAGAGTAAAAAAATCTCAAAAGTACCTCTCTGGGCACGAATGCATGGTCAGCGACTCTGACAGGTGGCAGGCTGTCAATGGCCGATACGAGATCCACTAGCTTGTGCAGCGATGCGCTGATGCTGGAGGGAGGGTGAATTGGGAGAGGTGAAGAGGGGGGGAAAAGGGGAAAAAGGGTTGCTTTTGGGGAGGGGCAACTCTGAGTGGTGAAAGGCTGTCAATGGCTGTCAATGGCTGATACGAGATCCATGAGCTTGTGCAATGATGCGCTGATGCTGGAGGAAGGGTGAAGGGGGATAGGGGGGGGGGGGGGGAGGGAGGGGGGATGGGCTGATGCTGGAGGGAGGGTAACGGAGGAGAGGGTGGTGGGGGGAATGAGGTGAAACTGGAGTGAGCAGTAAGGGGAAAAGGGAAGTGCGGAGAAAGAAACAAAGGCGGCTGAGGAAACAAGAATGACGACACAGAAGCATGCGCACTAGAGGCATTACAACCGCAAGCATATGGACATACCCGCAACCATAGGAGGGACATACCCGCAAACATAGGGACCTACCCGGCAATGTGTGCTCGGTTGTGGGGCAGGCTCTCGCTCCCTGGCAGCAGCTGCAGCAGGTGCTGTTGGTGCGTGGGCGTGGTTTTAGTGGTGGCACTCAGCAAGACTGCTGCTGCTGCTGGTAGCGTCTGCAGGTCAGCACACACAGGGGGGCACAGGGGGGAGAACAGAGAGACACACACCGTGCAGCATGAGTGCATCACACACACATGGCCTCATCTCATTCTTAGCTCGTCAGAAGCTAATGAAAGTCTTGCCCCCATCTGTGGCGCAAATAGCCCCAGGTCTCGTCTTCGTCTGTAGCACACCAAGCACCAGTCAGATCTTACCTTCATCTGTAGCCCAGCCAGTCCCTGGTCCGACTGTAGCGCAGCGAGGAGGGAGTCAACTCCCCCCATGACGGCGTGCAGCAGAGAGTCAGCATATTGCAGTGCTGTGGGCAGCAAGGAGGCGTGCTGGAGAGGGGTCGGGAGGGAGAGGGGGGGAGGAGGAGAAGGGGGGAGGGAGAGGGGGAGAGGAGGAGAAGGGGGGAGGGAGAGGGGGAGAGGAGGAGAAGGGGGATTCGGAGGTCTGCCAGGCGTGTGAAACAGAAGGGAGTCAACTCCCCCCATGACGACGTGCAGCAGAGAGTCTGCGTACTGCACTGCTGTGGGCAGGAGGGAGGGGAGCTGGGGATTGGAGGAGGGGAGAGGAGAATGGGGAGGAAATGGGACGCCTTAAAGCCCATGTATGCCGTGTGGTTGGAAGGGCATCAACCCCCCCCGTGACGGCATGCAGCAGAGAGTCGGCGTGCTGCACTGCTGTGGGCAGTGCAGGAAGGCTTGGGCCACCATGAGCCACCCTATGCAAAGAGAGGGCCGCCCAGTCGTTCTGTTTGCCAATAATTCCCCCACGGGTAAGCTCACCTCGTCCGGCAGTGAGTGCGGCAGGTTGTGCAGGAAGGCTTGGGCCACCATGAGCCACCCTATGGCGTGCGATGGCGTGCTGTGTGGGGAGAAAACCACCTGACGAAACACCTGAGGGGCAGGAGTTGGGGAGAGGCGAGAAACGAGATGAAGGGACGAAAAACACGTGGGGAAGTGGAGGAGAATGGTGAAAGGAGAAAAGCCACTGAAAAAAAAAGTTGAGAAAGGGGGGGCGGAAAACGGAGTGAGCCCATGGCTTGAGCATCTGAGTTGCCCATGGCTTGAGCATCTGAGTTGCCCTTTGCTTGGGCGAGAGTAACTACCTGAGTCATCTGTGGTCGATAGTAGCACATGAGTTGCAAGGATGCTTGCTCGTCCACCACTTGTGGTAGCTGATCAATGCACCTGCGAATGGATGGGGGGGAGCATGGATGGAGGGGGGAGAGACATTCATTTCGCCATCACTTGGTTTAGTCATGAGGTATTTGGTTGGTTGGACCATGTGTAGATTATACCGCGGATACACTCCCACACAACACTGGTCAATTGGACACCAGATGCAGCACTCTGGCTGACACAGAACGACATACCTTTACCAGGAGCACATGCGGTTGCACTCCATACCACACAAGTCGGACCATTATTTCCCCCCCATTTCCCCCCCGAACAAGGTGCAGCACTCTGGATGAGACAGTGGTGAAGGGCGACAACAGCAACAGCGGCAGCATATGCTGCATGTGAGGATAGGATAGTAACGCGAGATCCCAGCTGCAGCACACCTGGACCAGACGTAAAGGCGGTTGCACTCCGTAACCACACTAGTCGGCCCGTCATCTCCCCCGGACACGAGGTGCAGCACTCTGGCTGAGACTGTGGTGAAGGGCGACGAGAGCAACAGCTGCAGCTGCTGCCACTCCACCCTCATGTTGTGCCAAGCTAGTTGGTCCGATGCCAGGGCGTGCTGGGGGATGGGAAGAGATATGGAGAGCAGAAAAGCGGGGCATGGGGCAATGAGAATACGGTACGGGGGAGTGGTGCTTGCAACTGCAGCTGCAGCCCCTCCACCCTCATGTTGTGGCATGCCAGCTGGTCCGATACCAGGGCGTGCTGTGAGAGGGAAGAGATATGGCGAGCAGAGAACCAATTGAGAAGGGGGGCATGGGGCAATGGGGGAGTGCTACAAGCAGATTCTGCCCCAACACCCTCATGTTGTGGCATGCCAGCTGGTCCGATGCCAGGCGTGCTGGGGGATAAGGAGGGGAGGGACATGCATGTTAGACAAGGAAGGGGAAGGGCAATAGGCACTACCAAGACAAGTCGCAAAGAAAGAGAGCCAAGAAAAGAGAGAGCCATAAGGTAAAGACAACATAGCATTTGCAAGCGATCTTCATACTCCATGCTACTGCTCCCACCCACCACTCCCCCCCATCCCCCCCCAACACACATGACTTCTACATACCATTTGCAGGCGTTCCTCATACTCCATGCTGCTCCCACCACCACCCCTGCCACTGCCACCAGACGCAACGTCAGCATCGCAGAGGAACCGGGCGGCCGCCAGCATGGACGCTGACGTGTCGCGGAAGAAGGCCTCCAGCTGGGCGCTCATCGCCAGCTGGCGCACAGCTGGCAGCGCGATCAGGTCTCTCACCCGCCTCGCACCCCACTGCACCTGCCAGGACGCATGTGCCTGGATGGCTGGAGAAAGGAAAGAAAAAGGGGCGGTGGGGATGGGGGTGGTGGTGGGGTGGGGGAGTGCGGGGTGGGGGAGTGTGGGGTGGGGGAGTGGGGGGTGGGGGAGTGGGGGTATTGAGTCGACACGGGAGTCGGGTTTGTGGTCTCCCACCCCCCTCGCACCCCACTGCACTGGCCAGGGCGGATGCGTCTGGATGGCTGGAGAAAGGGAGAAAAGAGGAGGAAGGGCAGGGGGGTTGTTGACAGTATGGAATCAACTCGGGAATCACCTCAACCACTGCGTACCCCACTCCACCTGCCAGCACGCATGTGCCTGGATGGCTGAATATTGTGGGGGTTGGGGTTGAAGTGGGGGAGGGGGAGGTGGCTGTTATGTCGAAAAGCATACCGAGCCTCCCAAGCATACAGAGCATGGAGGTTTGGAGGTATGGTGGTATGGAGGTATGGAGGTATGGAGGTATGGTGGTATGGTGGTATGGTGGTATGGTGGTATGGTGGTATGGTGGTATGGTGGTATGGTGGTATGGGGGTATGGGGGTATAATGATATGGAGGTACGTTGGTATGGTGGTACAGTGGCATGCAGGTATGATGGTATGGACGTACATGGAGCTATGGTGGTATGGAGGTATGGAGGTATGTTGGTATGGAGGTATGGAGGTGTGGTGGTATGGTGGTATGGAGGTATGGAGGTATGTTGGTATGGAGGTATGGAGGTGTGGTGGTATGGTGGTATGGAGCATACCAATCATACCAAGCATACCCAGCATACCGAGCATACCGAGCATACCGAGCATACCAAGCACACCGAGCACACCAAGCATACCAAGCATATGAAGCATACCAAGCATACCTAGCATACCAAGCATACCAAGCATACCGAGCATATGAAGCATACCAAGCATACCAAGCACGCCACGCATGCCAAGCATACCAAGCATGGCTGAGGATAAGGGGGTTGGGGTTGGAGTGGGGGGGAGATGCAGCGGGGGGGAGTCAAGGGGAGTCTAATTGTGAGACGCCTCAAAATCAGACTTCTCACGCCAGGGGGGTTGGGGTTGGAGTGGGGGGGAGAAGTGGCTGGATCGGGGGGGATTCAAGGTGCTGTGCCGGCTGCAGTGTCCGTGTCCAAAATGGCATGACCTATGATGTGAAGGGGAGGAGTCAAGGGGAGATTCGGCTGGAGCAGGGGCTGTGTTGGCTCGTGAAATGACCTATGATGTGCCAATCATTGCCACACGACAAGCGTGCATCACTCCATCTCACACAAGCACCACCTACCGAGCAGGTGTATCTGGATGGGTGACACAAGGCGGAACATGTACCTACCGAGCATCACCCTCCCAGCACGACCTACCGAGCATCACCCTCCCAGCACGACCTACCAAGCGTGTGAGTTTGGATGAGCGTTATGAGGCGGAGCATGCTGTCGATCAGCACACACCCCGCACTAACCTGCTGCCTATCCCGCTCATAACCCACGCATCACCCTCCCAGCATCACCTACCCAGCATGTGCGTCTGAATGAGCGACACGAGGCGGAACATGGTGTCGATCAGCACTGCTACCGAGTCAGCTTCCGGGCCCTGCAGGGAGGGATGGAGAGGAGGGGAGGACAAGTGCGGACGAGAGGGCAGGCAGGAGGTGAAAGCCGAGTCTGGATGACAGTGCTGAGCAGCACTGCCCCCAAGTCAGCCTCTGCACCCTGAAGGGAGGTGGGGAATGGTGTCGTGGAGGACAAAGTAAGATACGACTTTGCAGAGGTAAGGAAAGGGAGGCGAGGAGAAATTAGAGAGGAATTAGAAGCTTGTGAGGGCATTTATCGTGACGGGGGTAGACTGGGAGAGGCAGGAGGTGTGCACGATAGCCCAGTGCACCTCGGCGCGCAGCAGAGCGAGCGAGCAAAAGAGAGAGATAGTAAGGGGGGGGAGGGGAGGAAGGGAGGGAGACGGCCATTACCGTGACAGGGGCAGACTGGGCGAGACAGGACGTGAGCAGGATGGCCCAGTGCACCTCAGCTCGCAGCAGAGCCAGCGCGGGGCGCACCAGCTGCAGCACGGGCGGTAGGAGCATCACGGGGTAATTGCCCAGCCTCAGCAGCAGAGAGTGAGCAAGAAACACACCGTGATGGGAGCGGACTGGGCGAGGCAGGACGTGTGCAGGATGGCCCAGTGCACTCCAGCTCGCAGCAGAGCCAGCATGGCCCGCACCAGCTGCAGCAGGGACGGCAGGAGCGTGGGCTGATCGCCCAGCCTCAGCAGCAGAGATCAGCAGCAGCAGAGAGAGGAGGTAGCAGCGGCAGCAGAGAGTGAGCAAGAAACGCACCGTGACAGGAGCGGATTGGGCGAGGCAGGAGGTGTGCAGGATGGCCCAGTGCACCTCGGCACGCAGCAGAGCCAGCACGGCCCGCACGAGCTGCAGCATGGGCGGCAGGAGCGTGGGCTGATCGCCCAGCCTCAGCAGCAATCGCCTGCCCTCGTGGCCCAGAATGAACCGCCTTCTTCTGTGGGAGTCCGCCATGCGCTGCAGGCATGCGTGCATGCCGCTCGTGTCTACTAGGTCTCTGTGGGTAAGGGGGAAAAGAGAGGAAACATAAGGCGGGGTCAACGCCCAGCCTGAGCAGCAGTCGCCGGCCCTCGTGGCCCAGAATGAATCGCCTCCTCCTGTGGGAGTCAGCCATGCGCTGCAGGCATGCGTGCATGCCGCTCGTGTCTACTAGGTCTCTGTGGGTAAGGGGGAAAAGAGAGGAAACATAAGGCGGGGTCAACGCCCAGCCTGAGCAGCAGTCGCCGGCCCTCGTGGCCCAGAATGAATCGCCTCCTCCTGTGGGAGTCCGCCATGCACTGCAGGCATGCGTGCATGCCGCTAGTATCCACTAGGTCCCTGGTCATTGGGGAGTGGGGGGGAGTGAGGGAATGTTCACAAACACACTCTTCGCAGCAGTCGCCTGCCCTCGTGGCCCAGAATGAAACGCCCTCTTCTGTGGGAATCAGCCATGTGCTGCAGGCATGCATGCATGCCACTGGTATCCACTAGGTCCCTGGTCGTAGGGGAGTGGGGGGGAGTGGGGGTGTGCACAAACACACTCTAAGCAGCAGTCGCCTGCCCTCGTGGCCCAGGACAAACCGTCTCGTCCTGTGGGAATCGGCCATGCGCCACAGGCATGCATGCATGCATGCCCCATAGAATACCAGAGACAAAAATACGGAAATTTCCCCGCCCTTCCTCCCCTTCCACACACACAGACTCACCCTATCACTCGGCAGCACTCCCTGAGGTAGTGATAGACTGATACTCCTCCGCTACGCCCTGCTGCCTGTGGTGTCTTGCCGCCGCTACCTTGGCCGCGTTCTCTCTGTGCCCTACCCCGTCACTGAGAGGCACAAGAAAAGCAGCCCCCCAACACTCACCCCACCAGTCGGAAGCACTCCCTGAGCCGCTGATACTCCTCCTCTGCTCCCTGCTGCCTGTGGTGGTGTCTCGCCGCCTTGGCTGCCTTCTTCCCCTCCCCCAACTTCCCCGCCACCCACTGCTGCACCTCCACGTGCACACATAGGACTTCGTCTCTGAATAGAGGGAGTATTGCGCGCGAGTGAAGGAGAGTCTGTAAGGAATCGGGAACAGAAGGATGAAAAACAAGCCGTTTTCTTTTCTGGCTTCCCGCCCACTGCTACACCTCCACGTGCACACATAGGACTTCGTCTCTGAATAGAGGGAGTATTGCGCGTGAGTAGACAAGCGTTTGCAAGGAAGCAGGGCAGTTTGTGGAGAAATGAGGGGAGGCTCGGAAGGTGAATGTGCTTCCTTGGCTGCCTTCTTCCGCCCCGCCACCCACTGCTGCACCTCCACATGCACGCACAGCACGTCGTCCCTGAATAGGGGCATGTGAGGAGGAGGGTCTGGAAGGAGAGCAACAGGAGAAGGGGGGAAGACGGAGGTGAGGTGTGCTGCACGTCAACATGCACGCATGAATAGAAGGGGAGGTGGGCACAGGGGCACTATGGCAACGGGCACTATGGCCCGTGCAACTGCAGAAGTGCCTCGCACCTACATACCCACAGCTCTCACCTTGATCAGCGCAGCAGCAGCAGTGGTGCCTCGCACCACCTCAACAGGGCATGTGAGGAGGGCGAAGAGGGCCCACTCTGTGTACGCCTCCATCTCCACCAGCTCCTCGCTCTGAAAGGTTGGGTGGGGGGTAGTTGGGGAGGGTTGGGGGAGGGTTGGGGGAGCAGTGAAATGTACGAAGCCTTTCACCACAGGGCATGTGAGGCATGTGAGGACGGCAAAGAGCGCCCATTCTGTGTACGCCTCCATATCCACCAGCTTCTCACACTGGTGTGTGCGGGGGGGGAGACAGGGGGGTGGTTGAGTCGATTTTTGAGTCGACTAAAAAATGTTGAATCGACTAAAAATCATATCCACCAGCTTCTCACACTGGTGTGTGCGGGGGGGGGAGACAGGGGGGTCGTTGAGGGTGCAGGGGTGTCATGTGAGGGGTAGATCGCACATGTGAGGAGGGCAAAGATTGGCCACTCGGTGTATGCCTCCATACCCACCAGCTCCTCGCTGTGAGGGAGGGGGCGCAGGGGCAGAAATGGAATCTTAACGCTTTATGGGACATCTCATTGTCACGCACAGGGCAGAGACTACCATGGCCAGGGGGAAATTTCAACGGGTAGAATGGGGGCCTACCACAGGGTCCCAGGGGGGGAATTCAAAGGGCAGAAAGGGAGCCTCCCATGGGGCCCCAGGGGGGAGGGGCGGATGCCACATCAGGCCACGATGCCAAGGGCAAAAACACTTGCCATGAGGTCCCAGGGCGTCTCTTTCAGAAGCGCCTAAAAACAAGAGACCTACCATGGGGTCCCAGGGGGGAGGGGCGGATGCCACATCAGGCCACGATGCGAAGGGCTTCACAAACACGTCAGTGCGAAGCTTCTGGGTGTTTTCCCATGAGAGGATCACCGGAGAAATGGCATTCACAGCCTGAAGAGGGGAGGGCGCAGGGAGATGGAGAGCACAGGGACAGCGGTGAGCACAGGGACAGTGGTGAGTCTAGTTTTGAGCACAGGCGCCTCAAAACTAGATGGAGAGCACAGGGACAGTGGTGAGCAGCAGTCACAAGGAAGGCAAGCAAGGATCTCCATATTTCTGGGCCTGTATCCTTGCCAACACGACTGCACGTACAGCCTCCATTGCCTCAGGATGGGCGACTTTTTAGTCGACTAAAAAATCACCGACTCAGGAGTCGACTAAAAAATCACCGACTCAAAAGTCGACTAAAAGATTTTCGGGTATGTAGCCTTCCCAACACGACTGCAAGCACTGCCTCCACTGCCCGCGAATGGGCTAGTCTGACCTTGGCGATCCCAGGAGCAAGGTGACTTTTGAGTTGACTCAAAAGTCATCCAGATTTTAGGGTGTGTATCCTTCCCAACACAACTGCACGTGCAGCCTCCACTGCCTCGGGATGGGCTACTCTGACCTTGGCGATCCGGGTAGCAACGGTCTTGAGGTCCTCCTGCAGTCCGAGCATGGGGGTGTCGTACGCCTCTACGTACCGCAGCACCCTGGGGAGGAAGTAGTGGAGGCACGCCAAGGGGGGTTGGGGGGGGGGGGGAGAGGAATGTATGAGCTTGGCCATCTGGGGAGCAATGGTCTTGAGGTCCTCTTGCAGTTCGAACATGGAGCTGTCGTACGCCTCTACGTACCGCTGCACTCTGGGAGGGGGAGAAGTGGGGGGTATGCGGGGGGAGAGGGGGTGAAAGAGGAATGTATGAGCTTGGCGATCCGGGGAGCAATGGTCTTGAGGTCCTCCTGCAGTCCGAGCATGGGGGTGTCGTACACCTCTACATACTGTGACACTCTGGGAGGGGGAGAAGTGGGGGGTACGGGAGAGGGGGGGATTGGGAGGAGTGGGGTGGGTTTTGGGGTTGCATACACGCAACATGGTCCTCCTGCCTGCAGTCCAAGCATGGGGGTGTCGTACGCCTCTACATACCGCTGCACTCTGGAAGGGTGAGAAGTGGGGGCACGTGGGGGGGGGGGGAAGGGAGAGGAATGTATGAGCTTGGCGATCTGGGGAGCAATGGTCTAGAGGTCCTCTTGTAGTCCGAGCATGGGGGTGTCGTACGCATCTACGTACCGCAGCACTCTGGAAGGGAAGTGGGGAAGGACAGGGGCCCACACTTACACCTGATGCAATTCCGGGAGGAAAAATGACTGGATCGCTGTACCTTGGCGTTCCCATACCTTGGGATCACCGTACCTCGGGATCACCCTACGTTGGGATCACCGTACATTGGGATCGCCGTACCTTGAGATTGCGGTACCTTGAGATTGCCATACCTTGGGATAGCCATACATTGGGATAGCCGTACCTTGGGGTTGCCGTACCTTGGGGTTGCCGTACCTTGAAGATGTTGTACCTGTCGTAACTCTCCGGCACTTGGCCGTTGTTGGTGTAGTACACTATCAGTGCATGCACCTGCACGATCATTCTCTTCCCCGCCTGGTCATCCCATACACACACACACAACCATCCCCCCCCCCCCCCCACACGCACACCCTCCCACACACACTCACACACACACACGCGCGCGCGCGTGCTCAGAAGAGAAGGGAAGAGAATACAAGAACTCTCAGTAAGATTTTGTCTTTACACGAAGAGATTAACTCGTATTAGATTTCTACTAGTCCCGGGAAATTAACCACCACTGTACCCTTGCCCTTGAAGAGAGGAGGTTAACTCACCCTTAAAGAGAGGAGGTTAACTCACCCTTAAAGAGAGGAGGTTAACTCACCCTTAAAGAGAGGAGGTTAACTCAACCTTAAAGAGAGGAGGTTAACTCACCCTTAAAGAGAGGAGGTTAACTCACCCTTAAAGAGAGGAGGTTAACTCACCCTTAAAGAGAGGAGGTTAACTCACCCTTAAAGAGAGGAGGTTAACTCACCCTTAAAGAGAGGAGGTTAACTCACCCTTAAAGAGAGGAGGTTAACTCACCCTTAAAGAGAGGAGGTTAACTCACCCTTAAAGAGAGGAGGTTAACTCACCCTTAAAGAGAGGAGGTTAACTCACCCTTAAAGAGAGGAGGTTAACTCACCCTTAAAGAGAGGAGGTTAACTCGCACAAAATCGGAAAAGAGGCGCATGAAGGAGTGAAGCACAAGAGGGTTCACTCCAGGCTGAAGTGATAAGTGGGAAAGGCAAGACAGGGGAGAGGGGAACGCAGGAGAGCTTTTGAGTCGACTCAAAAGGAGACCCATGATGGAGCGACGCACAAGGGACTCACTCCAGGCTGAAATGGTTAGTGGGAAAGGCAAGATAGGGGAAAGGAGAATGCAGGAGAGTTACAAATGAGTTGACCGAACAAAGCACACAAAGGCACTCAGAAGCACACAAAAGCACGCATGAATAAAAGCAGAGGGAAATCCAAATCTGGAGGCAGGAAAAATGCTGCTTCCGAAAAAAGGGTGAGAATTGGGGGACGAAAGAGAAAGTCCAGGGGAGGGGCACGGGAATCTGGGAAGGGTGACGTTCTTACAGAGAGTGTGACAATGCTGGTGGCGAGATCATTCAGCAGAACAAGGGCGTGCTCTCGGAAGAGAGCCAGGTCCACCAGCACCTGCCAGGCAATGCAGTCATTCCCAGAGGACAGGAAATGGGTTGGGGGAGAAAGAGGGTTCTTCTGGGGCGAAGTCGAGGCTTTACAAACAAGGTCGTTCAGCAGAACAAGGGCGTGCTCTCGGAAGAGAGCCAGGTCCACCAGCACCTGCCAGGCATTGCCAAGGGTGGAAATAGCTGGCGCATTCTAGACGTGTGAGAACACCCACGTGCCTAGAACAATCAGATGCTAAGTTGAGATACTTATTGCATAATCAGCTATGTCGACCAGCATCAGAACTCCTGGTCACCTATTTCTCTGCCTGGTTCGGTCCGTACCTCATACCAGGGCTGCAGGGAGGCTTGGAAATGAGAGCCGAAGCTGGCAAACACCTCGAGAGCAGTTCGATCCACCTGGTGGGTTGTCAGGCGTGGGGGTTGAACATGGGTGTGGGGGTTGAACATAGGCGTGGGGGTTGAAGAGAGCGTGGGGGTTGAAGATAGGCGAGGCGAGGAGCAAAATGACTGGCTGGTGCAGACTGATGCAAGCTGGTGCAGGCTGGTGCAGGCTCAGGCTGGTGCATGCCTGAAACTTTCACACACTTTATCTGGCTATGGATTTCACACACCCTATCAAGCAGTCGTCACGTCACACCTTGTCAAGCTGCAGGTTCCGTGGGTGTTCTGGCAACTTTACACAGCTGCTTGCACACCTTCGGGAAATCCGAAGGCTTCACACGCTTACATCATGACCATGGTTCGCACACCCTATCAAGCAGGCTTCACACCTTGTCAAGCTGAAGGTTCCGTGGGTGTTCCGGAAACTTCTTCCACAGGTGCGTGCACAGCTTCGGGAAATCAGGCACGATCCCCGATTTCCAAACCTGATCCTGCGGTTTGGGAGAGTCCTGAGGACCCAAGTCAACGAGCCTCGACAGCCTGTACAGCTTCGGCATCAGTCCCCGAGCCACATTCCGAAGCTGCCGGAGACGTCCGGCGATCTGCAGACCCCAAGTAGCCATGGAATGGTCATCGTTCAGAACAGGCTGCGGTGTTGGAGTTGCTGGTGAGTCTGCTTCGTCTAGTTGTTCAGGTACTAAGCTAAGAGGCTTGATGCTTCCTGCTGCGTTCGCTGATACTCGGTACTGAGGGAGTCGACTAGGACTTGGACTTCGAGCCGGGATAGGAAGAAGCGGGAGGAACTTAGGACTGAAGAGTGGCCGAGGCGAGGAGTCAACTCTAGCCATGTTCGACGCGTATTCCTGATGGTTGGATGTGACCGGCGAATTAGGACGTCTCGCTCGTCTACCGTCCATCTCGTGCCGGCAAGGAAATGATGCGGAAAAAAAAATTAGCTGAATGAGATAACCGGGCTTCTGCCCTGTGGCTACGTCTCTCTTGACAAGCCCGCAGCGAGCTAACTGTGTTCAAAGACCTGACGACGATCATTAGCATTAATTTCTGTCTACCTTCCTAGCGATCACAGGCAAAGTAGGAGCCTTTCGGCAAATAACCAGGCCATGCTGCTGCTGTGACATGCAATCCACAAGTGAAATCACCATAATAGCAGCTGGAGAGGTATGTCGGCCATAATCGCAGCTGCAGAGGTATGCTAGCTAGTGAAATATTTGGAGGTGTATGAAGTGTGAATCCCTTCACTCCATGTCAGTTCTGGCTGAATCTTCTTTGTCCTCGCTTCAAAACTGCTCCACAAAACGCATAAGAGGTGAGTCACGCGATCTGAGACCTTGAGATTGCCGACAGCTGGCGGACTGCTTGTACATGACTTCTTGACGACTGACGCAGTTTCTCAACGACAGTCGCAGATTTCGTCGAGCTGCTGTGAGCCTCTTTGACGAAACGAACTGAGATGTTCAAGGCTGTGTTGGAGAGGTAACGACGTCGTCAGCCGTCGCGGAAGTGGTCGTCCGCTTTCGCTGATGCTTTGACGGTTTGATTGGCCGTCCGACAGTTTCAGGGCACGACTGCTCGCTACTGGTTGACTGACAAAAGGCGACAGGGACGGGGGGCGCGAAACTTTTCGCGGGCGGAACTACGCAATCACCGAGTTGGCGAAACCAGCTGTCGTCGCGAACCGACTTTTCGCATCTGGTTACAAGAAGTAGGGGTACACTGATATATTTGACATATTTTCTATCCGTAAATGGTGAAGCCTGAACTAACCGCTAAAGAGTCTGCACTAACGAATACACTGATTTAATTGGTACTGAGAGCTAGTTGGGCCGTCAGGCCACTATCACGAGAAGGACCACAGGGTAGCAGCCAGGCAGGAACCACCTGATAACCATTACAATGGCACGCTTACCCAAGCTTCCTCCCCGAAATCCCGTGCGCCTCGCTAACTCCATAGTCTCTCCTCTCGCTGCTGCCGATCCATCAATCTCTCGATTAACTCCGTCCAGCCCGAATGCATCGCCAAGTCGCTCCTTTTTCAACTACTTCTTTCCGCCTCCACGTGTCAACCCCGATCCAGAAATCCCGCCACCCAAGCCGTCCTACTGGTCAGATCCCGAGTCGCGTTTAGAGACGTCTAGAAACCTCGCCGAAGCGCCGATCGCACCAACAATACAGCCGGGAGAGCTGCCTAGGTTAGTCGCGAGCCGCGTGGCGTGCATGCGCAGCGGCGAGGTGGTGTTACGCGATATGAACATGAGCGTGTACGAAGGCGACGGTGTGCTTCTAACGGGGCCCAACGGCAGCGGCAAGAGCACATTCCTAAGATTGGTGAGACGCGCTAGCGACTTATGGTCTGTGCCTTCCACACCCCTTCCCACCCCACCCCACCCCACCCCACCCCACCCCCTCCCCACCCCACCCCCTCGCCTCCCCTCCTTCCCCCACGACCCCGCTCCCCATGCCCCCCCTTGTCTTGCCGACAATCCTCGATTTACCATTGTCGTGTCCTTGCGCCGTTCTTGCTAGAATCCCTTTCCTCCTCAACCCCACCCTCCCCCCTTCTCCCCTCCCCACTCCCCCCCCTTGCCAGGTTTCATAAAGCCCACTGCGGGGCATCTGATGCGCAGGGTGTTTTTGAGAATTCTCAAAACCACCCTGCGGCATCTGATGCGGCAGGGGCACAGCCTTGTGAACCCAGATGCATCCCCTTGCCTCTTCTGCTCTTCTCCCCCCTCCACGTTTTTTATTCTTTCCCTGTTGTCGGTGATTTTTGAGAAATTAAAAAAAAAAAAAAAAATCTAAAGAAATCTCCCCCCCACATTCTTCTATTCGTTCCCTGCTGGCTCCTTCCTTCCCTGCCTCGTTCCAGCTGGCGGGCTTTATCAAGCCGACAGCGGGGTATTTGATGTGGCAGGGGCACAGCCTCATGAACCCAGATGTATATGACAGTAAGGGGTGTGACAGTGTAAGGAGTGCGTATAGCCTGGAGTGTGCGTCTGTAGATGTATATAGCCCAGCCCAGCCTTGTCCTCATCTGATGTGGCAGGGGCACAGCCTCATGAATGCAGATGTGTGTGACAATAAGGGGGGTTAAGCAGGGCATTCAGGGGAGTGTGACTGTGAGGAAGATTGATTCATGCTCACGCCTCTTGCTGATTCTCCTCGTGCTATCTGGCATCCCACCTGAGGACCCCACCTGATGTCTTACTCTGCATTTCTTATCACCTGGCAATTCACCTGACGTCTCACCTGACGTCTCACCTGACGTCTCACCTGACGTCTCACCTGACGTCTCACCTGACGTCTCACCTGACATGGCATGGCATGGCATGGCATGGCATGGCTCAACCGTGGTTGGCAGTGTACCGAGTGAACGTGCACCTCATGGGGGCGAAGGACGCCATCAAGAACTCGTTTACTGTCGACGATAACGTGGTGAGTGCTGCTGGTTCAAGGACCAAGGACCTGGATCTCACTTACGTGCTAAGTTCACCGTTGACGATAACGTGGTCAGTGCTGCTGGTTCAAGCATAGGGTGGCACGGCATGGCTTGTTGGCACGGCATCCGTGGCACTCGTGGCTGCCAGACCCCAGAATTCACACACTTCAGACTCCAGACTTCAGACCCCAGACTTGAGACTCCCCTTTCCCCTTATCCCTCCAAACCCCATCCCCCCCTCATTCTCTCCCCACTTTCTCTCTCTCCCCACTTTCATTCTCTCCCCACTTTCTCTCTCTCCCCACTTTCATTCTCTCCCCACCTTCCCTCCTCCCCTTTCCCCTTCTCCCCTCTCTATCCCTCCCATCCTAAACCCGAAACCCGCAACCCACTCGGGCAGCGCACGTGGGCCGTACTAGAGGGCACGGAGGACAGGGTGGCATGGGCTCTAGAGGCAGTGGGGCTGAAGCACCTCTCAAGGGAGCCAGCCAGCATTCTCAGCATGGGGCAGGTATTACCTGGGGCGGGCGCTATTCGGATTAAGGGACTTGGCATGGTAGTGAGGGGTGTGTAGCATGTCACACAGGGTGGGCGCTCGGGGCAGTGGGTCTGACTCCGAAGCACCTCTCTCGAGTGCCAGCCAGCGTTCTCAGCATGGGGCAGGTATCACTTGGGGCAGGTGCCATTTGAGGAATGTGTCGTGTTACTATCTCGGGGGGGTTGCTTTGTGCATGGCTGCTGAAATGGGCATGGGGCGCCTGCAGCTGGCGCCAGTTGGCCATCCCGCACTCCCTCTGGCTGCTGGACGAACCGTCCGTTGGGCTGGACTTGGAGGGGGTGGCGCTGCTGGAAGCCATAGTGGAGGAGCACAGGGCGGCGGGGGGCATGTTTTGAGTCGACTCAAAACACACCTGCTGGAAGGCATGGTTGAGGAACACAGGGCGGCGGGGGGCATCGCCTTTGTGACGAGGGATGTCCTGTGGGCGAGGGGCGGAATTGGTGTCAGGTGCCATCTGAGGAAGGTGCCATCTGAGGAAGGTGCCATCCGTCGTTTTCGTCCCTCCCTCCCCGCACCCCATCCCCATCAGCACAAGCGCCTGCAGCTGGCGCGTCTGCTGGCCATTCCGCGCCCCCCCTGGCTGCTGGACGAACCGTCCGTAGGTTTGGACTTGGCAGGTGGTGGGGCTGCTGGCAGCCCGCCTATCCGCCACCCTTACTCGCCCATCACTTCCCACCCATCACTTCTCACATACACCCATCACTCTCACTATCCCCCCCCCTTCTATTCGGCGCAAGCGCCTGCAGCTGGCGTGACTGCTGGCCATCCCTCGCTCCCTCTGGCTGCTGGACGAACCGTCCGTTGGGTTGGACTTGGCGGGCGTGGCGCTGCTGGCAGCCCTTACGCTCATCCGCCCTTACTCCCCCCTTCCCCCATTTCCTCACACTCTGTCTCGGCCCTCCCCCCTCCCTCCCCACTCCCTCTCCCCCCCCCCACAATCTCTTCCTTCCCCCCATCTCTCCCCCCCCCAAAACAGCGCAAGCGCCTGCAGCTTGCTCGTCTGCTGGCCATCCCTCGTTCGCTGTGGCTGCTGGACGAACCGTCCGTTGGGCTGGACTTGGAGGGGGTGGCGCTGCTGGAGGGCATGGTGGAGGAGCACAGGGCGGCGGGGGGCATTGCGTTTGTGGCGACCCACACGCCCATCCAACTCTCCTCCTGCTTCCACCTGCGATTCCCCGTCAGGTATGCCCCCTAGCTGGCATCCCTCTCGAGGACCAGCCATAGGTTTTCCCCCACTCCCATCCGGTCGGTAGTCCTACCTGGGTCTTCTCTTGGTGGGGCTGGGCGTGGTGGGGTTGGCGCTGCTGGAGGCCATGGTTGAGGAGCACAGGGCGGCGGGGGGCATTGCGTTCGTGGCGACCCACACGCCCATTCAACTCCCAAGCTGCTTCCATCTCCGCGTCCCTTACTGATTCTTCCTGCCTTCCTTTCTTGCGGGTGACCCTTCCGCTTTGATCTGAATGTGAGGCCTGTGCCGTGCACCTTTCCTGTGACTAAGTATTCCATATCTCTCTACACCTCTCTATATCTCTCCATCTGCCCCTTGTGTAATCATCACCAGGGACCCAAGGACATTTGCCATGTGACATGACAGCACCACGACCGCTCCTATCACACCCATGCAATGAGTTGATGACACTAGTAGGTAGTCAGATGTACTTCAGATGCCACTAGTGCTGTTCAGTCGTGTCAAGTTTTGAGGCGCCACAAAACTAGCCACCTCGATCACACCTATCATACCCATGCAATGAGTTGATCACACCAATATAGGTTGTCAGATGTACATCAAATGCCACTTCTGCTGTTCAGTCCGGTCCGGTCCCCTTTGAGGCGCCTTAAAACTAGCCACCTCAACCGCACCCATGCAATGGGTTGATCAAACCGGTAGGTTTGTCAGATGCAACTACTGCTGTCTAGTCCTGTCATGCTGGAAACAACGTAGTGCAATTAACGGATTTTGCTGGGTGTTCTTGTGAAATTCGCCAGGTCACAAGCCACAGCAGAGCACAGGTCACAGGGCGACCCCATACCCATACACAGGGGAATTCAATGCATAGATGGGGGAAGATTCTATGTGCTTGCTTCCTTTCACTGAAAAAACTCTTCCATGATGTGTACAGTGATGTCCAGACCAGACTAATTACACAAGTTAGAAGCATCTACACTACGTACCACAGGGGTTCTGTTCCTC